GGCATTTCTACAGTAGTCCAAAACAATAAGGAAATGTAACTCAAGGGCCTTGATCAAAGGAGTGGAGGTCACAGCAGCGGATTTGGTTTTTGGCAGTACTGCCCATTCACTCGCGCTTTGATAAATGGTTTCAGTTTCCTCTGTCACATTTTCAGTGTTTATAAAATGGGGTCACTGTCAGTCTATGTAGGTGACAAGTGTTTTTCAAGATTTTAATTCATCTTCAAGATTTTTAACATAATTTGGTGGAAGGTAAATTCAGTGCATATTGTATATAGTCCTGCTAACTGTATGGTATATGGAGAATTCTGGTTGCTGGTAAAACAACGTGTTGAGACATGGTTTGAAAGTGAAACCAGATCACTCTGCAGAATTTGATGTAGTCAATCCAGCAAAATAACCTATATACAAATGAACTGGACTTGCCATCTTTTCATGGAGTGGCTTCAGAAGGATGTAAACTTTACCCTGGAAAATCAAGAGTAGTTTTTAAATGCGCTTAGAGTGTGAGATAACATGTGCTCTGCATTGAGAACAGGTACTGGCTCTGTTTCAGTTTTAAACTAGGGCATTCCAAATGTCACAGCAAGCTAGCGCTGAGGGACTTGGCCTTGGGAAGAGCCAGCTTGACATAAATGAGTGTTCATTTGACAAACAGGATCTATTACTGGTTTTCTGAATAAGGGTTGTCTTTTAATGTCTCATACCTTGGTGGTGCCTCTTTGGATCAAAGTTTAGTTATATTTCTGTAGAGCACAAATGTACTTCAAAGCTGGACCTTCATCATGAAATGATCTGTACATTTTCAACGGGAAATTCTGGAGTACGGTTTTAAATATACGAAGGTTTTACATGCTTGAAGCATTAAACTTCCCTGCTGTCATCAGTTCTGAAGCAGCACTGACTAAGTCGCTTACAAAAGAAAGATATGTGTGTCTCTGCCAGAATAGCCATGTAGAAAGCACCTGGCCAGCAATTCCTAAACTGTGGATTGTGACCTGAATGGTGTCATAACCGCTGTGAGCGGTGGATACAGGGGACATTGTGGTATTTTGGTTCTGCTCCCTGAAGTGAGATTAGGGCTGTGCATACACGTGCCCAAACCCCAAAGTCAGGCAGTTCTCCGGGGGGGAGTGGAAAGGCATCGTTTGGTTTGACATTGTACACAGCGGAGCATTGTGAAGAAATAAGTTACAAGGAAGCAGCTGCAGTTTTTCTTTTGTTTTTCCATATTTAAATTTATATTATGAATGGCTCAAAGTGGTGCTTCTTCTATACATAGAATGTGGCCTTGGAAATAGTTCTCTGGTCTCTAGCTTAATATAAATTAAAAAATTATTGACGACTGTACCAACAGTGGCTCTGTACCATGAGGCTTCAGTTTGTGCATAGTATCTAGTGAAAATGGGTGGGTGTGTAACCAAAGTCAGTATTAAAGTTTCTAGAGAGGCCTTTACTCGTAACTTTGCATAACAACTTTGCTCACTTGCATGCATGTGTGGGAAACAAAATCTTAAAGCTCACATTGTTCAAATTCCAGGATGTAATGACTGTTAGTGAAGGACACCCTTTTCCCCTTGATTAGATGTTGCTAATAACAATAAGCAAAGAACAACCAAATAAGTAATCACCTCAAGGTGTTTGCAGATGTCATTCTATCTACATGAAGAATAGATAGTTATGGACACCAACAGGAACATCCTTATCCTCCTCAAGGACTTGAGAAGGAAGAGTTATAATTACTAACAAGAACATCTTTCACTTCCTCAGGGACCTGGGAAACTTCTAGGTCAACAATATTGTCTTAAGGTGACTTAGGACTTATTAAAGGACAACGTGGGAAAGAATGTTCCTTGCCAAAAAATGGCTGGAGACCTCTCACAACCACCCTCGCTGCACAAAATGTGTGTGTAATCAGTATGCAAACATGATAGTAAGTTATGGGAAATCCCTTGAATATGCATAATGATTCCAGGAAATATAATACATATGTAAGTAGCCTGATAATATAACCAAGAGCTGCCTGGCGATTGGTGTGCGTGCTTTGAGGTGGGAACCTCCGTTCGTCCATCACTGTGAATAAAGAACGCTCGCTTTCTGAGACTCCAAAACAAATTTTAGAGAGTTTTTGTATTTGCCAACTTACAGTAACAGGTGGAGCGTTACCTTGATAGCTTTCCAAATTTCAGCTCTGTGAACACTTCACAGGGAGGTTATCACTGCTGTTGGAAATTTAACAGTGCTTTTTTTCACAGAATCCCAGAATGGTGGGGTTGGAAGGGACCTCTGGAGATCATCCAGTCCAACACCCCTGCAAAAGCAGGGTCACCCAGAGCAGGTCACACAGGACAGCATCCAGGCGGGTTTGGAACATCTCCAGAGAAGGAGACTCCACACCCTCTCTGGGCAGCCTGTCCCAGGGCTCTGTTTTTGTTTTATTTTATTCTTGGTGATAGTTTCACCTTAGCGGTTTCAAAACAAACCTCCTGTATATTCCGCTGTGCAGTGAGATGACCTTGGTGATGACAGCTTGATTGCTTGATCCCTGTCTTAAACAGGCCTTATTTGAATTTAAGAAATTATATATTGAAGCATCCTCACAGAATTAAATTAGTCCATTTCTAGTGGCACATAGTTAAGGGGGGAAAAAGAAACAGTTTCTAGCTCTTACAGAGCCTGCACACAGTGTTAGGGGAGGAAAAACCCCAAACTTAATGGAGGTCTTGATGCTGATTTTACAAGAAAAATCTGCTCTACGGGGTTTTGTCAAATACTTGAGTCTCCTCCATCATCTTAGGCGAAGGGAGAGCCAGGAGGGCTGCCTTTGTGGGAAGGCAGAGGGAACAAGTAGCCATTGGGTTAGATGAATGACAATTAAGGATCGCGAAGGTTATTGTCACCTGGGAGAACAGAGTCGTTGATGTGGGAATTTGACTGTTGGGAAGTTGAGCAATAAGAGTCGTGATGTGCCTGAAGAGTAAAAAACAAAACCACAATGTAGCTTACTAATAAACCAGATACAGTATTGTGGTTTCATTTTTTTTAACGTGATAAAAATGGGAAAGTGGCAAAAATATTCAAGTGACTTAAATATTGGAAAACTGTAGTACTTACTGCTGAAGTTTTTTTTATCAGACAAATGAACTTGCAGAAGTCATTGCTGAGGTACGAGGAGCACAGATTCACTGACTTCACTCAGCTTTTAACAACAGCAACAACAGAGGCAGAGACAGTATTTTCTTCAGATCAGTTTATTTGAGTAGTTCTGGTTTTATTTAAAAAAAATCAGGATCTGGTGCTTCTAGTTTTGAATAAGATAAACTAGAAACAATCCATTCAGTTGTTTTATTGTGTTTAGTACTTTCTCAAATAGGAAGGTTTTTGGAAGCAAAACATTTTAACTGTTTTCTCCCTTGCCCCCTGTTTACTTTAAGGAATAAGGAAGCTGTTTAACTGCTGTAGTTTTGCTTGTATTTAATTCCCCCCTCAAACAGATATTTAGATAAATAGTAGTCACATGATAAATAACTAATCATGTAGATAACAAATCATGTATGCTAGTATGCGCAATCCTAACAATTTTTTAATGGTTTAAGTGGGGGAGTGTAAGTATATGAGACACTATGTCTGTGTGAAGTTAAACATTTACTGAAACTTGTAGAGCTGCTGTGTTCATATTAAGACCAAAAAAATCCTAATCTAACAACAAGAAGTCAGTTCATATCTAATTTTATCAGCAGACTTCTTTGAGGAAATAACAATTGCAGTTGAAGATGTGATTAGAACACATTCACTGTTTCTTGCTTGCTGATCTAAGTGATTAGGATTAAAACCAGACCATACGGGAAGGGGGAAAATCTGTTGCTCTGCTTGTTTTTAAAAGTGAGTTAAAGTAATCTGCTTGAGTGTTTCTGTACAGAGGATTCTCAGCAAGTGCCTGTGTGTCGGTCTGCAGACACCACCTTACTTCCAGATGTGTTATACGCAGGTAGTGCAGTGCCCAAGAGTCATCCCCTGCTGTCAAACCTTTCTGTTCTGCCAGTGAAAATGTGATGGAGCTGGCAAACACTGGGTTTTTGTGTTGGCCTGCTGAGTACACCTTTCTTAGTGAAGTTGCCTTCCTGGGTGTCACATATTATTGTGCTGTATTTTGCATTACAACAGCACCCTAGAAGCAAATTGTTAGGTTTCTATTCTGCAAAATTATATATAAGCATTTAACAGGTGATATTTCACACCTCAGAATTCGTATTTACTGAAAAGCAGAATCACAGAATGGTTGGGGTTGGAAGGAACCTCAGGAGATCATCTTAGGTTCATTATAACCTGTTTTGGTAAAACGGGGGCACTCTAAATTGAATGGAAGTTGGAGCTATTTGCTTAAACATCTAGTTCAGGAAGAGACCACATTGTTTTCAGTACACTTAATTTTTCCCTCTTCATGTGTATAGTACAGGAGGGGGTTTAAGTGCAGTAGTAAGTCAACTTGTATGTAGGGAATAAGTACATAAAGTTACTGGACCCTTGCCGTACTCAATATGCATTTATAGGCTTCTTTTCTCCTTCATCTCTTCCTTTCACATTACCTTTCCAAAAGTTTCCTTTGTGTTTTATCCCTTAAGTATATAGCAGATGGCATGGTGCTGGACTTCAGTGCTACTTTTCAAAATGCAACATTAGTCATGAAATTGCAGTTGAGTTTTCTCCAGTTTAAGAGGAGATGTAGAGTCGTAGATAATTCTTGGAAGATCAACTTCCAGTTTTTTACTGAAATTACGAGACCACGTTTTACTTTCTACTTGGGATCTCGACACATTCTTCTTTATATTCCTATCCAAAAGGTTGTACTTCTGGAACTATGTTATACTTGCTGCCTTTCAGATAAGTTAACCGAGTAGCCACAGGATTATTTCCTGCTTTCTAGGTATTAGTTTTAGAGGAAGCATCAGCCTATGAACCCGTGAAATGTTAATTTTGCTGTTTCTGCACTCTTATTAAAGGTGGTGGGAGAGCTAGCAAAGGTGATGCTTGTCTTAGCATTTGTAAAATGAGAACCATGTGAATTGTTTCAAGACATACATTTATATTCTGGTTCGTTTAGGTTTTTACCTTTTAGTGCCCATTAGCAGGGTCTTAATTACTTCTTCAGTGTTACTGTTTTAAAAGAGTATGTAATTAATGTTTTTCTTCACAGGGAGAAGAGAATTTATCCAAAGATTAAAACTTGAAGCAACCTTGAATGTGCATGATGGATGTGTAAGTCACTTGTTGCTTTTTTGTTTGTTAAAAGATGTTAAATTAATATTTTGCTGCCATGGTAATAGTTCCTTAACTTGAAATTGTAAATACCATGTATTAAAGCAAGCTGGAAACCTGTGCTTGTTGAGAGCTAGATCTGAATTCTCTAGGTATTTGTTTCTTCTTAAACATCTGACGCTTTACCTTTGAAACAAAACAAAACACCATCCTTATAGTTTAATACTGCGTCCCTCTGCTGAATGAATGGATCTGCTGTGCCAGGGAAACACCTGCTTATCTTTTCAGTTAGAACTCATCTCAGATCTGTAAATGGAATCTTCAGTGGTTTTGTGCTATGTTGGTATATTTTGTTAACTTAAAGCTGCGTTAGTGTTTTGAGTGATTTATTCTCTGTGAGGAAAGAGGAGAAAACACTTCTAAACCATATTGAACTGGAGTAAAAATACCACTTATTTTCTTCCAGTTCTGGTCCTGTGAAAGCTGAGGAAGGCAGAACTGCAGGGGTAGATGGAGCCTTTGACATGAGCACATACTACATTTTAAAATACAGAGGATTACATCTGCATCAGGATGGCACTTGGAGCGAGTAGTCCTCAAAGCTGTGCTTAAATTAGCATAGGAAGTTTGTTTGCATATCATTAGAATGTGCAGTTTTCACCTTTTTCTCCGTAGATGAAAAGTAGTGGCTTTTTCACCCCCTTCCTTGCTGGGGAGTTCTTTCTGGTATTCTGGATATCTACAGTCATTTTTATTTCCTTTCTTCTGTTTCTTGTATTCTGTTCATCTATCCTGTTCACAAAAGAGTTTGTTTATTCTATTGTTACATTGCACAGAAGTGAGGAGTTTTGCTTTTTCAGTTATCTAAGGTTTGTCTGTTCTGCCTCCTGCATTGTCTTTGGGGAACACAGAGATAGTAAATTTATTTTTGACTGTTTGACTAATGGATCAAAAGTTCCCTTTCAAGGTTAGTTAGATGGCAAATACTATTAGGTAAAGTTGATAATGTGAAATACTTCATAGAAAAAAGCTAATTACACACCCCTTGACTTTTCTCATTTTGTTATTAATTGTCTGTCATTTGTGTTCAATACTTCCTTTATTTTTCTAAGGTTCTAACACCTTTTTCCAAGAATTTCAAACCCTTAGTGCAGTAACTGTTACATTTTGCTTTTAGTTGGGTTTTGAGTGGCTCTGATGGTACTAGATGTGTAGCTTTTCTACACGATTTTGAAATACAAACCTATTTTCTAGCTAGTCCTCATTTTACAGTGTATTTTAATAGTGGGTTTGCTAGCATGGAATGAGACATGAGAACTTTTTAAATCTACTCTTCCAAGCATCTGGTTTTAGTGATCCATATGCATATTTATTGGGGTTATTCACTGTTGGTCAGTGGGTTGTACTGAACACTGAAAAATGTAGTGTATTGACTGATCACTTACTGGAAAGTCAGTGTCCTCTGGTAATAAATAAATAAATAAATCTTATTCCACTGAAAGACTTTAATTTTTTACTTATTTTTTTGACAGTAATGTTGAGAAGGTGATTTGGTACCAAATACAAAGCCTGTTTAGTTACAGACCTCTAGCACACGTTTGGCTATGTCGTGTCACTTCAGGTTTTTTCCTGAATCAACTTTGGCCTGGGTGGGTTGTGTGGAAATTGCTTAACCCTGAGGCAATCAGTGCGATGCAAACAGAATTCAGGAGGAGAATGATTGATGCCTTGTACAGGCTTGTGATGCTGCAGTTCAGATAATCACATCTCCCCTTTGCATCTTCGATGCTTTCTCTGCTTTCCTGTCCTTCAGACTTTGTTTTTGGACACACACACACCCCCACCCACCCAGTTCAATTTGTTTAATTTTTGTGCTAGCTCTTCTTTCTCATATCATGGTTTTTCTATTTTTTTTGTCAGTTTTCTTGTTTTTTCAGTGTTTTGTTCTCATTTCTATTCTTGTATCCTTGTATTAGCATTTTTGGTTTCTTTAGAGCAATGATAGTATTTTTCTGCCTGAAAGGAAATGTTGGTGAAAACGAACATTCCTGGGGTTTGTGTTTGTCCTGCCTGTGGTACTGTGCTATGCTGGACAACACTTTTGAAGTACAGTTGTTGTCAGGACCGGTTACTTCAATGATAGATGGATCTGGGGGCTAGTTGAATGCATGTTTCTTGGTGATTGACAGCCAGGGTTATAAAATCATAAGAGTAGCCATGCAAGGTCATACCAGTGCTCGTTCGAGCCTGGTAACTTGGCTCTGGGAGTGGCCAGGACTGATTTTTGAGGAAAATTGAGACAGGGCACAGTATTTGGTGTTTAAACTGGAAGAGGGCAGGTTTAGATTAGGTATTAGGAAGAAGTTCTTCACTGTGAGGGTGCTGAGGCACCGGCCCAGGTTGCCCAAGGAAGTTTTGGCTGCTCCTCCCTGGAAGTGTTCAGGGTCAGGTTGGATGAGGCTTTGAGCAACCTGGTCTAGTGGAAGGTGTCCCTGCTGATGGCAGGGGGGTTGGAACTGGGTGAGCTTTAAGGGCCCTTTCAACCCAAACCATTCTGTGATTCTAAGAACACATCACACTTTAATGGACAGGTGGAGGAGAAAGTTGTGTCTTTGTTTCTTATAATTTTAAATTTCTCTTTGATGAATATATATATATATATATTCTTCCACTTCTGGTGTCTAGGACATTCCATGACAATGAATTCAAGTTTTAATAAAATGCTTGTGTATCATATGATGGTTTCATTGAAGAACCTCCATTTCCTATACTGTAAAGATCCACGGAAAATTATTTCCTTCCTTTTCCATGTCGTTCATGATTTCATAAGCTTCTGTCATTTCCCCTCCCCAGAGCAGTACCAATTAAATGCTTCTTGCCATAAAAATTATTAGATACCTCTGATCACCCTAGTCATTCTTTTTCATAATTTCTTTTCAAATGGGCAGTAATAAAAATTGAGAATATAGGAGTAAGATATGGACCAAAACTGCATAGTGTGCAAGATGCAGATTTGCCATGCATGGATGTATTCACTGACAGAATGATGTTGGCTTTTCTGTGCATTTCCTAACGATTCCTAACATTATTTGACTGCTGCTGAGCATTGAGCTAACGCTGCCATAGGCATGTAAAGATCTTTTCTTTTTTTTGAGCGTCATAAGTTGATTTAAAGCTCCTCAATTAATATGTCAATTTGTTGCCTGCAAGAAACAGATAATTCTGATTTTGCAACTTTGCCTAATTAAAGGACCTCAACTAAACTTGTGATTAAAATAGTAGCTAAAATGAGTATATTTATTTTAAACGAAAAGATTTTGTCTTTTGGGCTCAGAATGAGGCATCTGAATTAAAAAAAAAACCACAAGGATTTAGCACAAAGTGAGTTTTTACTAATTAGATAGTCTGCTCTGATACATCACGCTAAGGCAGTTATTCTGCCAACAGATTATAGCCAACAGAAGATGTTGATGGCTACAGTTTGACACTTAAAGCTATTTTAGAGGCTGCTTGAAACAGTAATAGTCACACACACAGTCTCTGGTGCTTGTGCATGAGCTGCTGCTTGAAGACAGGTAACTCTGAGGATACTTTCTGGATTCTGAGTGCTTTTACAGCTTTATTTCATTACCACTTTAGTAAACACAGTCTTGTGAGAAGGAGACTTGATAAGGAAATATATTGTAAAGTTCTCCCAATACAATCCTATACCTCACTGTAGGATTCTTCTTTCCCAGCATGCTCACACTTCTCAAAAGGGATGCAGGGTGGATTCTACAGTGCTTTTCACATGGTCCCTGAGAAGGTGTGGTCACTGGAAAGTATATAAAGCAATGGATGGTCAGAATTTGGGAACCGTGAAGATACAATAATGAGAACATGGTGATGCCCTCCAGTTCAAATTTGGAGAACTCTGTGGATTATATTTGATATGTTAAAGCACCTGAGCGTGTAAAATTGTGGCTACTGAGGCCTTTGTGGGAAGGCTCGATTTACCTAATGGACTCTTCAGGAGCAGAGGGAGTAATTGAGATGTTGTAGGTTCAGGAGGTGATTCCCTCACCAATTTGCTTTAAAAACATAATTTTCTTTTTTGTACTAGCTTCTTAGAAATCACATAATTCCAGTTGAATTTGTTCTTCCTATTTCTGTAGTGTTGGATGAGTATTGATGTTTTAATGTTCTGAAAATTTAATGAATGTAAGTCTAAATTAATTTTTGTTAATTCATGCAGGTGAATACAATTTGCTGGAATGATACAGGAGAATATATTTTATCTGGTTCAGATGACACCAATCTGGTAATTAGCAATCCCTACAGCAGAAAGGTAGGTTTCTGGATACTCAGTAATTTTCAAATAAGATTTAAATTTATTTTTTTTTTCAAGATATTAAGATATTTTTCATAATATTATTTTTCAGCTATTAATTGTTATCTGACAAAGATAATATCAGGCACTTTATAGTGTTTATAAATGGGAATAAAACTTCACAGTGCTTCAAAATCTTAGTATTCTAATCCCTTGCGACATAGGTATTATCCCATTTTACGGTAGGTGGTCTGGCACAAAAGGAACATGGTCTCACATCAGATTAGTGTCAGAATTAGCAAGAGGATTCAGTAATTCTTGTGAAATCTTCTAGTCAGATACATTGTTTTCTGTTTCATTTTAGTTTTAAAATACTGTATTAGCTTTTGCTGTACGTAATATACTGAGTTGTCTTTCTGTGTAATGCTGTTGAAGTGTCAGTCTTGATTAAAATTCTTTATTACCATTTGAGATGACATTGCCTTGTGTGTGCATGTACATGGGTGGAGAAGAATTTGTACTGAAATAGGAGAAGCAGGTTTGTGAAGGGGAAGGTGCTGTAAAGATCTCTGCTTTTCCACTTCTGCACTCACACGGGTAATGATGCAGTCAAACGGCTTCCAGTAACGTCAGCTGGTGTCCATCACACAGGAGCAGAGTTCCACGCTTTGCTCTTTGAAGAGATGCTGATAGTTTGATAGAACAGATGCTCTCAACTGTGTCCTTCAGTGCTGGGGATCCTACGTAGCAATGTTCAAGTGAAGTCCTCTCTCCCATGCTTTCTCAGAGGTTGAGAACTAAACCATGAAGAGATGCTGAAAAAGTAAATGTGGTGGGGAAACCAAAATGTGTGCTTGGTACAGTGGAAGGGGGTTCAAATAGGAGGTTATGGAGGCAGCAATATTTTGCCTTTCCAAAGAGCTAGAGTGGGAAAATAATAGTGATCTGGAGCATTACCTGTGCCTGTAGGTAAAGCCCTTTTCCTCACTTCCCCAAATGAGCCGTAGCTTCCAAACTTCATCTCGTCCTTTGGACTATTGGGGTCAGTCTCACAAAGTTCAGATCAGTGTCATTAGACCAGGGTTTCTGTTGGGCTGGGAGCTCAGCTGAAGAAAAGAGAGAGCTGCAGTGTGGGTGAAGGGTGTACTCCAAAGTGAGTGGTGTTGGGGAGACTTGCAAAGTAAAAATACTTCATGCAAGTAGAGGGTGTTCACTGTTATTTATTGTGCAGGGTTTATTTTAATATATCACTATAGGATAGTTGGTATATCATTATCTTTTATATAATTATTATGTTAAAATATTATAATATTTTAATAGATGAACAATTTAAACTTTATGCTTTCATAGGATGATTTTAAGTTTTTTTTCCCTGTTGTATACTACTGCTGCACTTAAGCCAAATTGAGAAATATAGGAAATGTTTTGTTTTCTTATTTTTAACAGTCAGCCAAGTTATTTTTTTATATAACAGCAGAACAGATAGATTTCTGCCCCCCAGTATATGCAAATGCAATTATAAACAGCAGGTACTAGCATGAGGACTTTTAATAATCAGTGTTGTTCCTGAAACGTACTAGAGATGCAGTTTTTAATGACTGTTCCAATTGTGTTAGCTTATTTTCTCTGGCTTGAGTAACAGAATCAATAGAGGAAATGGAAGCAAATTGGTACCATTACCAGAACTCTACTGTAATTCTGTCATCTTGGCAGATATCCTTATCACCATATTTTCTGTTATGAGCTAGCTAGAGTAACAAAAATAGACTTCAGCCATCAATATAGTCTTCTGTGCTAATAAAATACGTAAGTTAATAAGGAAGCATTTAATCTTAACTCTCATTTGCATGAGTTCTGTGTAAGTCACTCCAGTTTGTATTATGTATGGCCAGATGAAAAAGTTAATTGTTACTATGTAATGTGTCTCAGAAGGAGAAGTTTCTCTAAATATGTTTCTCGAGTTGTGTATTTGAGGAGAAATGTTTTACTGTGATTTCTTATAGTAATTGTAAGTCTAAATCAAAAGAATGAGCACTTTATTATACTTTGGGATGGCTGAGTTTTCTTCTTAATTTTATTTGTTTTAGGCATCACGTTACTGGGGGTGAGGAGTGGGCAGAGTTTGTCCGGAGCTAAAGCTCTACCCACTACAAATATGGTACAAAAAGATAAGAATTTATGTATTCATATCAATTTGAGCACTCAAAGCCTTTAAATGGAGCCTGGGACTTCTCTTAGACAATACGAGTGTGAAGACAGGATTCTTAGGAGTAGTTAAACTCAGGAATTTTGAATCTTTAGCCTGGTTTGTCTTCTGGGAGAGAAAGGGTTCAGCTGCCATGAGGAAGTGGGTTAGTGGAGCTGAAGGTTTGCAGCTTTTCCAGAATCAGGATTGCTACTTTTCACTTCAGGATGCGGTTCCGTTAGGTTTGCTTTCCTCTACTTCTAAAGCAGGTTTGACTTCTTCAAAGGAAGTACTATTGAAAAGGCTGGGTTGTAAATGATTCAGTGCTGCGTGTCTTCAACAGGAGCCCTGAATTAACTACATCCTGAAAGGCTTAGTAAACCACGGGTATTTGACTTACATTTGCTTTAACAGGCTTCTTCTCAAAAAGTAAGCTGGCATGGAAATAAAACCACTTTTTAAACTGGTTTTAGTTTTTAATGTCACTTTTGAAACGCTGTTTTGTTCATTATGGTGACTTTTCTTCTTTTCATTGTAAAGAGTTTCCATTTGAATGTTGAATTTAAACATTTCATGTTTAAAGGCAACAGAGTAGCTGCCAGAAATTCTACTTTCTTGGAGAAAAGCACTTATTATTAGGGATGGAGCTTGTATCCAAGCTTCTGGGATCGCTACATGAATTAGTAATCCCAGCCCAAAGATTTAACCTGGGTTTTTAAGTGATGCAATTTGAATTCTTGGATTCATTGCCTCTTCAATTGATTTTCTGTGTAATGTATTACTTAAGCAATTGCAAAAGTTATGAGGATATCTGAATTACTACCGCTAGTCAAGTACTTTGAAGAACATCTGAAGTCTTTTGGTTCTCCCCTGTTTTTAGTCAGTTGTTAAGTATTTGTAGCCTGTTACATGTTGGTAGTAAGATGCTCCAATGGAGTAAGGTGGTGGTATTGTTTTCCTCTGTGTAGCTAATGACAGGCTTTTGGGGGTTGGTTGTGTGTGTTACATTTTCTCATGTTTTTTTATGCCTTTTTCTTCCCTCTCTAAGGCACTATAATAACCAGAGTAGAAAAGGATGTACAGTGCAAGTCAAGAAGGGTGTGGAAAATCTTCTGCATATAATAAATGCTGTAATACTTCAATACTTTCTATTGCAACACCGTGCAACATAGTCAGGAAATGGAGGGACAGGCAAGATGGGGTTAGATCTGCCTGTGAGAAAGCTCTTACCTTTACTGAGAATGTGTAGCTGTACATATTTCTGAATGCTGTTTCAGTTTACAGTGGAGAAAAGAAAAGAGAGAAAGAAAAATGTTGAGTTTTTCCATGTTTGACTGCAATCATCGAATGTTCTCCATGTCTCAACTGAGATCTGCAGATAGGGAAAACTGAAGCAGAAGGTTAGAATAAGTTAACTACTGACTGCATGAAAAGCAAGGGCATTAGGTTAGGGTTTGTGAGAAAAAGGGGGAAAAGTAAGAAGCACATGTAGTTTGGTGAGAGAAGGACCCTGTACAGCAGAGCAAGGAGAAAAAAAATCTGCCTGCTTGTATTCACTAACAGGGAGGAAGTGGTAGAGAACTGGCAAGGGTAATCATAAAATGGTAGACAACTCTGTAGTAATTTAGATTTTTCATTTATTTATTTTTTAGGGAGATAAAAAGAGATTTCTTGTCAGGACAAAAATATTTCTTTCACAGCAGCAAGAACGTAAAATCAGAGGTGGGATTGACAAATGATATGTCTTTAACTGTCATCTGAACTAGGGTACCGTATGGACTTCTTGTTGCTCCTTTGATACCGAGTTCCTAATTTCTTTTGAATGTCTGGATTTTTTAAGGTTTTCAGGAAAATACAGAAATCTGAACAAATCTAAGTGAACAGGCAGATTTTTTTGAAAGAAAACGAATGGATTATCTCTCCTGGTTTTGATCCTGAGCCTTGTGTATCTTTCAAAATATCCAGATACACTGTTAATCTTTTTTGTGTGTGTGCAAATTGTTTATAAGGTATGAAATAGCACTTGTAAAATATTAGACACCAGCTATCACTGGCAGAGCAAATTCATTTGCATAATGTTTTCTTCGATTAAATTAATTGAGGGGAAATTTGGAAGTAATTTTCATACCGTAAACAACTTGGTAAGTATGTTTTTCCTATTAGTACTGGTGAAAATGCAGTTTGGTTTAAATGCTGCAGATGGGAGAAACAAGGTAAGAACAGACTGTTCACTAGTGTACATGAAAGCACAGGGTTTGGGGTTTTTTTTCAGTTTTAATGGACTAATAAGTATGTTGGGAAATATGCAGAATTGTCACAAAGTGTTTAAAACCTACTGCGATGCTGAAGTAAATTATATGCTTCTCTGCTGTACTGTAGATGAATGACATTCATTGAGACTAAGTCAAGTCGTAATTTATTGCCCTGTAATCATGTTCTTAAATGTTTGTTTATTTTTTTTACTGGTTTCCAAATATCCTTTCCTATAAGCTTCAGTTCTCCTTTTTAAAGTGAGTTTATTTTAAGAGTAGTATCAATTTTTAAAGTCTATAAAGTTGGCTTGAATTACAAGGTCTTACTCTTCTTGACCCATGACTTTCCAGATCTTCTACATCTCTCCTCACTGACATGCTGGTTGGCTCCACTATCACTTGGACTAATGTTTTATTTTGAGAAACCTGATGTGATATGTAAATAGCATTTTAAAAACAAAATGTGGCAGTTGCATTCCAGCCCTTTCACAGAATCACAGAATGTTGGGGATTGGAAGGGACCTCAAAAGATCATCTAGTCCAATCCCCCTGCCAGAGCAGGAACCTAAATGAGATCACACAGGAAGGTGTCCAGGCAGGTCTTGAATGTCTCCAGAGAAGGAGACTCCACACCCTCCCTGGGCAGCCTGTCCCAGGGCTCTGTCACCCTCACTGTAAAGAAGTTCCTTCTCAAGTTTAAACGGAACCTCCTGTGTTCCAGCTCACACCCATTGCCCCTTGTCCTACCATTGGGCATCACTGAGAAGAGTGATGCCCAATGGTAGGACATTGCAGACTGTTTTCTGCAAGCACATAAGTGAATGTCTCTTATGGAACCACTTTGTTCTTATAAGAAATTTGGTGTAAAGACACCTTCTCTGTTCTGTTGTATTGAACTGTAGGTTAGTGGCAGCCTGTACATAACCGATGTTTTATAGTACCAGACTCTGTGTTATTTTCTCATTCTTTATTTGCCTGGAAAATATTAACCTCATACAGCTTTTGCCTTTTCTTTCTCCCTTAGGTTTTAACAACTATTCGCTCAGGACACAGGGCCAATATTTTTAGTGCAAAATTCTTACCATGCACCAATGACAAACAGATTGTATCTTGTTCCGGAGACGGAGTCATTTTTTACACTAATGTTGAACAAGATGCGGAGACCAACAGACAATGCCAGTACACGTGCCACTATGGAACTACCTATGAGGTACCCCACAAAAGTGTTTGATCATTTTAACATAGGTAGAATACATATTTTCCTGTGGTGTTGCCCAAGATTTTAACCAGACTGATGAGAGCTTTATTTTAATGAGAATTAAAGAAGCTTTCTTCTAGCTTTTTTGAGGTTTGGTTGTGGTTTGTTTGGGGGTTTTTTGTTGGTTTTGTTTTGTTTTGTTATTTTTTTGTCTTACAGAGTAAGAGAGAAATGTAAAACTAAATGGAGAACTTTCTAAAAAGTAATGTTGTTAAGACCACTTGCTTTGCAAATCTACACCTTCCCTGAAAGAATTCTCTGCAGAGCAAAACTGGTTTAAATTTTGCTGTGAATTTCTTTCTGAAGTAGGTTAGGGGGGGTGGGGGCAGTGGTTATGTTTTGCATTTTTATTTTTATTCTCTCCTTCCTGCTCCCAGCTTTTCAACAGTTTAATGCTTTTTTTCACAATTTAAATCCTTTTTAAGAAATGCTTATTTCAGCATGTGTGAAAAATGCATTTACAGTTTTAGGTAATTTCTGGTTTATGTCCTAGTTAACTCTTTATGTGTAAATTTAGAGCCAGTGTTTTCAGTCCTCCCTTGGAAGTTTTGTTTCTATAAATACGCAAGTGAAGAAGCGAAGTGTTACTTAAGTTAGGAAGATAGTCAGATTTATTGATCTATTTATTTATTTTAATGACAGCACAATCTGCTGCTTGTAAAACTTACTGTGCTTAAAATAGAAAAAATACTGTTATTTCTTTCTTGGGTTATAAATGTTCCAGGTCTTTTGATTTGTTTGTTTTAACACTACCACAGGGGGGAAAAAAATCACAAATCCATTGCTTGTGTAACTGTTCAGCTTAGATTTCACTGCAAGCTTTTTCTTTGTATGTTAAGGAAATAAAATATTTAAGTCTCTATTAAGAAACAGAAAAAATAGAGGTGTGTGAAAAGGTTGTGTGAGAAAAGAAAATGACCGAAGTCATGCCAGAATTCATTTTTGATCATGTAGTAAAAATATCCTTATGGTTGTGATTACACATGTTCCATTAATGGAGAAACACTTCTTGCCTGTGGGGTGTCTTCGTAGGTCAGTTGGGTGAACCTTGTGCTATTCATGCTGTTTCTGGGCTTTGTGGGTTTGTTTTGGTTTGGTTTTGCCTGGGTTTAATACAAGACTTATTTTCATTTTTACCAAATGTAATTCTGGATCCCACGCTCACATCATCTGCTTTTATTTTTGAGATTTGTTTTGACTGAGAAACTACTGTTTCCTTTGAATAGCATCAAGTCTTTATGGCCCCCAAGCAGAAGCGTAAACTGCTCAGTTCTCACTGAAGTTTACTATATATAGCAGTCTGTGTGCTCCTCTGTGGATTCTGCACATCGATTGGGTCTTCTCAGTATCTCAAACAAAACCTGCCTTTTCACAAAGACATCTGGAGACAGAGAAGCTGTTTCTTAAAGCTGAAATGCCCTCGTTGAGGAGGAGTCTGTTAGGTCGTTGCATTGTGACTCTCTTGGGAAACAGGAGCCTCCTTGATGGCTGCTGGTGTGAGGAGCTGCCTGTTACTGGCTCCACTGGTACCTGGGTAGCCAGCTGCGAATATCATCTAAGACATTTTGGAGTTTGAGAATAGGAGAATGGTTATGGACACTGTGCTCAGGAGATGTGAAGGTGGTGGTAGAAGTATCGTAAGAGCAGGGGGTTTGGGTATGTGAGATTTGGAGTCATGGGCCAGGCTGCTTGGAGGACTGCAAATGAAAGAGTTGGTGGCAGTGTACAAGTCACCATGAGAAGTCACTGTGACCATCTTAAGTTTTGATCTGAGCTTGGCTTGGGCAGCAGTTTTGGTTGATTCCATGAAGTGACTGACAGCAGGTGGTGCTGCAAACCAATGATCAAACTGGGAAAATTCAATGACAGCACTTGCCAGTTGTGCTTGTGGAGTAGCACCCGAGGCTCCAACGTGACACTTTTAACCTGTAATATGAGCTGCTGGTTGTCCCTTTGCAAGGTGTTGTTTGTCATCAGTAATGACAGAATGCACATTGCAAGCTGCTAAACCAGATGATAAATATAAATTTGATAGGTGCAACAAATTTAACTTGTCAGAACAGCCAATAAGAGTTTGAAAAATATTTTAGAATAAAGATTGAGAACCCAACAGTCTAGCAAATCAAGATGCAAGTTTTATTGTTGTCCATATAGAATTACTATAAGTAAACAGTAACTAGTTGTACAGAATATAGTAAATTTCTTCAAAATCATTAGTTCAGGAAAGTACAGACATTTGCTGTATTGCACAGTCAAAATGGTGCTATTGCAGATGATTTTTATTCAGCAAATAACGTTAGCAAGGGCATTACTGTTGTTTTGAATGACAGTATGTGATACTGTTTTGGTTGTTTATAATGTTTCTAGACACAGTTAATGGAAGGGATCTCAAAACCCCTATATGACATTGACTGTTTTACCAACTGTCTCTTTTTGGAGTTATTTTTCTTAGCCTGTTTTACACTGAGGTTTAACATAACCTGTATTTGAGCTCTCATAAAAAAGTCTTTGAAAAGATAAGTTTAGAAAACGTTTTGGGAGGTACTATCTGTAAAGACTATAAATTCTGTTACTGTGTCTTAAACTTGATATTTGAACATTAAATGCATGTATTATTTTCTGGCATGGCAGATGGGTTTTTTTGAGCCTTGGCATATGAAAGTATAATAGAGTAAATAGCAGGAGTTTTTAAGGAAATGGCTGAGATACAGCTTCAGCTTCTGACATAACACAACTCAACTTTGTTCCTGAGAGGTTTCTGGAGTGGGAAAATAATTTCAAAATATAGTGAAGTTACTGCCCAGCTGTATGTAAGCACATCATCATATTAAATATATAACTTTGACTCATTGGATTCTCTAAATAACAAAAGCTGACATCATCTGCCCCTGAGGTACTAATTCTAAATTTGAATGTGGTTTGAATTTATACTGCGCTTTAAACTAGGAGTCTGTGACACTTCAAAACATTACAAAATCATCCATTGAAACAGAGGAGTGTGGAAATTTGTGTAGGTTGTTATGAACTGTGAAATAATTGCACAATTGTTTTTAATTCTCTGGGAGAATAGAATAAGTAGAGAGGGAGAGAGAAGTTCTTGAAACATGTTTCTGGAGAATTTGTTGTTTATACAAGGCCATTACAAGTTTATTTTTACTCAGCCAAATGCTATTCTTTATTGCCCTTCATGTTAACTGCATTTCAGAAGGAGTATGGACTTTTATGGACAACTCCTACCTTCATATTTTCAACACACTGAAATGCTCATATAGTTATATATTTTTAAAGTTAAGTAGAAAAGGATATTTTTTAGTCAGTAAAAAAGAATTTTATATATATAATGTGTACTTGTTGAACTTCAATATAGTAACAATGACTCTTAATTATTGAAGTCTGCACTTCTCAGTTTCTCTATTTTAACAGTTATAAAGTTATGTTTTTAAACATGTAAAAATTATCATTTGCAAGTGGAGGTATGTACTGCACTGTTACATGTGTATTGTGAACTAGTATCAGCGTGAACAAAAATAAAATACAGCTACTAGAAATAAGGGCTTACTGTGTTGTACCATGTTCAGCAACATTCTTGGAACAAAGCAAATGTTGTCAGTGCAAGCTCTGCATCGAAATACAGCAAAAATGCTGGAAGGATTTAGTGGATTGAAGAACAATCGCTGGCTTTTGTAACCACACTAACAAAATTAATTGGAGTGAATTACTGAAAAACACTCTTTTCAATATATTACACTAACATACTGAAGAATAGTAGTCGTAGCTCAGAATTTTATTGTTCCATTGTTCCTAAAACCTTGGCTTTGTTCTGTCTGTTAAACGTGATTGTCAGCAGTAAGGTTTGGCACAGCCACACGTTGTCTCAGTTAACATATTGAGTGTTACAAGAAGAAATGCTGAATCCTGCAGGGATTACCTTTGTAACCTCACTTCAGGTAGAGAGATTTACAGATATCCACAGGTTACTTTTGTTAAGAGTTGTGGGGAAGGGTCAGGGAGAATAAATCATCACATAAAAATGTTAGAGTCGCTTGCTCTGTGTTGAATTAGCATATTAAACTATTATGGACTTTTTTGTTGCTTTGTAAATTTCTATGAAGCTACTGTAGTGTAGGAAGATAAAAATACTGCTAGTTTCTACAACATTCCCTGTTTTGTATTTAAGGGGTAGTGTGTAAAAAGATGACATTTCATTTGTGTTCATCAACCTGTGGAATTCAGCTTTAACATCATGGTTGCTTGCCTTTTATTTTGTCTTAAGGAGGTCTTCTTGAGTTGAAGCCATACGTTTGAGACTCCATCTGAGTCTTCCTTAGTGTGAGTAGGGCTGAGGTTGGGAAAACAGTGCAGTACAGTGCCCTCTTAAAAGATTAAAAAAAAAATGCAGTGAGGGGGTAGGTTAGTAACAGCCTTTAAGGCACAGCTGCTTCAGGGGACTATTTTGATTTTGATAAAGGAATGGCCCAATGGGAATAAAAACCATCTAGTATTTTTATGTTATTCAGGCTTAGGAGAGTTTTGTTTGTTATTTTCTTCTATTACTTAATAGAAAATAAACTGAGCTTCTGTTGAATTATTGCAGCAAATTGGTTACTTATCTGAAAACTGATTGCAGTAAATGTATGTTGCTTATTAAAAGAGAGTAGAAATAACTGTAAACTTTGACTTATTTAATTTTATGTGACATTCCACAGTTTTTTTTAACTGCAGTAGTTCAAATCTTCTCTTGAAAATGAAGAAACATCAACAGTTTTTCAGTTTCCCTCTTTATTTCAATAGAAAGCTTGATGTGGGGCATAATTGCTTCTGTCTTTTCTGCTGCTCAAAATGTTGATGCTTTTATTTTCAAATTAATGGTATTTCTGGAAGTATTAATACTTTTTTGTTGTTGGTTTTTTTTGAGCAGATTATGACAGTACCAAATGATCCCTATACTTTCCTCTCTTGTGGTGAAGATGGCACTGTAAGATGGTTTGATACTCGAATCAAAACAAGTTGCACAAAAGAAGATTGTAAAGATGTAAGAGTGAAATCTTTTAATAAAGATGACCTAAATGTAGAGCTGTACATCATACAAACATAGGATATGAATTCTGGTAAGGCTTTTAGAAATAATAGATTTCAGGGTCGTTGGTGGAGATGACAACATGTTTCCCAAGAAACAAAAAAAGTTTGGGGAGTCTTTTTTCTTTCTTTTTTTTTTTTCCCCCTTCTATTTTATTTTAATATCTCCTTTGGCACTTTTTAGTTTATGAACTTTGGTGTGAGGCTTCAGATACGATAGAAAAGATTCTGTGTTGAAATTGAATCTCTTGGTCTGGTTTACATTAGTTACTATGGAGTGCAGAGTTGGAGGCAAAAAATGAGCCTCGGAAGTTGTCTGCAGCGTTGTGTTCTTGAGCATCCCTTGTCCCTCCATAAGAAAAGATTTGTTAATGAATTAAGCTAGATCAAATTAGTCACTGGTATTACTCCCTGAAGGTAAAGTATTGGTGGTGTCCACTGTGTTTGGATTTCAAAAACAGTTTTAATATTGAACAGGAGAAAAACTGACACCAAAGTATATGTTACTACCCTCAATTAATTTTATTCTGCTTTGTCTATATTTACCAGTTCTAGAGGTTTCTTTCTTTCTTTTCCTCTATCCAGTTATCTGCTCATAGATGAAATCTGTTATAATCCTTTAAATCAATTTAGACTGTCTCTGCTTATTTGGTGCTCTTCTGACTCAACAGTTAACTATATTTCCATAGGAAAATCCAAGGTACAAGCTAGTTTATCAATCTGTAGTTGTTATGATTACCATTTCTTAAATATTAGTTGCTGTGGTTTGTTTTGGTTTGTTTGTTTTCTTTTTTAGTTGATCTAGTGCTGTATTTCTTTCTCTGATAGTTTTCCTTCTCTGCAGTAGCTTTTCTGTTTGACATATTTACAGTCTATCTTCACAGGGCCAGACCTAGTTTTCTCAAAACCTCCTTGTCTAATGAGCCTGTGTCCTGAAGTAAAAATTAGAATTATACTTCAGATGTTCAGAGCTATTATTTGCATGCTGTATTTTTGTTTGTTCCAGGATATTTTAATAAACTGCCGGCGTGCTGCCACTTCTGTCGCTATCTGTCCACCAATTCCCTACTATCTCGCTGTGGGTTGTTCTGATAGCTCAGTAAGAATATATGATCGGCGAATGCTTGGTACAAGAGCAACAGGTAGGAGCCACACCTTACAGTGAGTTTTCTAACCATTTGCAGTTCCAATTTCAGGTGTTTGGTTTGTTTGGTTTTTTTTTTTTCTTTTTTCCCCCAAAAAGATGGCGAATGACTGAAGTGTAATAATGAGTGAAGCATAACTTTCTTCTCTGAGAACTATGCTTTGTTAATAATAAAGTAATTTCACTCTCATATTTGCTAATACAGAAATCTTCAAGTAAGTAAATTTAATCTATTCATCCATCTTAGAATACATCGTATACCAAATGCAGAAAAAGACATTTTGTAATGACTCTTCTTTCATCTTAAAAGATTCTAAAAAGCCAGTGATTGCAGCCTGCAGTGGTCCACCTGAATTTTAATTAAGTTCTTATCTTCTTGTACTCAGCCATGCTGCAAGGTTTTGCTTCTTTTGGGAAGGGATCTTCTGAACTCTATAATGTCCTGCAACATGCTTACCTTTGCAGTAGTTGTTGCTATATCTCACATAATTTCACTGAAAAGCTATCAGTCCTTCAGGTGAAAGCTAGCATGCTTCAGATTCTTACCTAAGAATTTTATGAAAAAAAAAAACTTCAGGTGACAAGCAAAAATGTGTTATATAGTTCTGATGTATCTCTTTCTTATAATACATGACCAGTGCATGTTTGGACACATATGAATTAATATACAGAGCTGTGCGTACACATTCGTGTGAGCAAAATCTGTCATTTCTTGCAGCATTTTCCTGTTGATGATTGTGATGGAGGAGAAAGAAAACAGTACAGATCACTCAATAAACACAAAACCCCTCTCATCAGGTTAAGGTTCTTATAGAATCTCTCCCTTTGATTACAGTGGTCAGCAAAATTCTGTGAGAACTGACGGAGGAACAGATTCTGGGGGGGGTGATTAAAAGGTACTATGTACCTGCTCTTGTGTTGTAACCATACAGGAGTAAGATGAATTCAGGCATGCAAGCCTCTAAAGGAGAGAGAAGACAAAATTTCGAAGACACAAATTTTTCTGGTTATATTGGTATAGTGCTGTTTGTTTTGGAGGGGCTTGGAGTTGTTTGGGTTTTTTTAAGAGGTGAGGTATTCTATGACTAGTGAGCAAACTCTTGATTTTCATTTGAAGCTTTCTGTTTCAGTCCCTATGTAGTGTGAGGTGATAAACTGAACTTGTCTGTGACCAAGGACAGGCTGTTGCACGTACTGAGTCACAAGAGATATGACATGTGGGAAGCAGTTACATGGCTAATTATGAGGTTTTGGAACAGTTTGCTTTTCTCAGTGTTAGATCTTCTTATAGGCAACCTTTATGTGCTCACAAATTTGTAATTCTAGAATTTAAGATTGTTTTAGTGTGTGGAATGGAGGTGAGTTATCAGGGAAGCATGATAAGTGCAATGCGTTGTATAGTTCTGCAGTTGCAAAGTGACAGTGTTATTATGTCTTGAATAAAACCTAATATTTTTAAAAACATTTTAGGTAGAAAAAGAGATGTATATCCTAAATTTTCTAAGTTTCATATAAAGAATTCCTTTCTAATTTATGTGTAGATACGGGTTTGCATTATGATTGTGTAAATGTTCTTGGGTTCCAAAATTTCCATTTGTGCTACATTTGATAGGTAACATCCACAAACTGACATGTGATGGGTATGTGATATATGAATATATTTGTGTGTGTGGTTTTTGTTTGTTTTAAATGTACATAGTGTTTGTAACCAAAAATATAAAATACCAGTAAGATCTGATATGTCATTATTCAGATCTAATTTAATGCAGAAGCTACAGGACACTTAGCTTTTCTCTGATCATCTTTTGTTGAATGATAAATAAGGAGTATGTTGAAGCTTTTGAAAATTTGCAATAGTAAATGTGTCATTTCTTTTTCCCTCTGTCCTCTTGTCCTGTCTCCTCTACTTCTTCTTTTTTGTTTGTTTTTTTTTGTTAATATAGGGAATTATGCTGGTAGGGGCACTGTTGGAATGGTGGCACGTTTTGTTCCTCCTCATCTCAATAACAAATCCTGCAGAGTAACGTCTCTATGTTATAGTGAAGATGGTCAAGAGATCCTTGTTAGCTACTCTTCAGATTACATATACTTGTTTGATCCCAAGGATGACACAGCACGAGAACTTAAAGTTCCTTCTGCTGAAGAGAGACGGGAAGAGGCAAGTGATTAAGATTACCTGATTTCATGTTTTATATTTTTTTCTTTTAGCACACTTGTATCAGTTGTATTTCCCTTTAAATTAATCTTAAATGAGTATTGCTGCTCATAGATTGAGATGTGACAAGTAGTTTGTTACATTTGCATATTTAGAATATATTTAATTTATTTATATATTTATAATATTTTGTCATTCTGGTTTCCTTTCTTGTCTGGTTTCCCTCTCCTAAAGCTGACGGCATCTTAGTGAACCTCAGCAAGGGTGGCAGGTCACTCTTGTAATTGAGGTGTATTCTCTGTTATTTTCCATGCCACCAAAAGCATATTCCTTGAAATCAAGTATAAATGATTTTGTTGAAAGTTATAATTTAATGACAGAGATAAGGGTGTACAAGATGTTTAGGTTGAGGAGGTGAGCAACTGCTACTGAGCAATATTAAAAGCTTCAGCAGGGTAACCAAAACACAAGTAGTTGTTTATTATCAGCTCAGCTACAATGATGCTGACCCTTCCAGTCTGAAATTTCTGATCAATATAAAACCAAATCTCTTTAACTACAGTGAAGTTGTGTACATCTCTTTCCCCCCTGGCCCTGCACCATCCACTCCTTTTTTTTCCTGGCATTATGCTCACCCTTTCACAAGCTCCTCTGCATCCCGAGATCATTACCTTTAGTCTGAGACAGCAGCCTCAAGGGAGTTTACAGTGAGTTGTCAGCATCCTGCTGTCTTCACTGGGAGGATAAGTATGATGATAATAGTGGAGATTCCTTCCTCCTCTGTGCTGACAGCAGCATGATGTTGATGTTTTCTTCTTTCTTTAGAGTCTACTTGAAGGCCATTTTTATACGTTTTTAAACACATTTTGCATGATGTGTTTTCCTTGTTAGCCTGCCAGTATGGCATGTTTTTGCTGTTAAATGCTCATTCTTTGTCCTTGTTGTTACCTCTAAAATAGTTGTCGCTTGGGTCCAACCTTTACTGTACAGTTAACAGCCAGCGGTGAGTGAGAAGGTGTCTCTGGTATCCTCCTGGGTCCACACCTGCAGGATATGTGCTGTCAGCCCATGCCAGTGCTGCTTTATAGACCAGCAATATCCTGTGGTCATAGGTAGCTCTTTCTTGCACAATTTAATTAATTTGCATTCTTATATATATGTCAAAACTGCTACCAAGAGGTTATACACCACACATCTGTGCAAAACTAAAGCAAATTAGGTGATAAACGACTGGTCACTAAACAATTGCTGTTGTAGCTACATGAGCCAAAAGGACACTCCAAGTAAGGGAGATCCAGACAAAGCCTGACAAGTGTGAGGCTTGTGTCGTTAGCTTCATATTAAGCCTGTGGGCTGTTACAATGACCATGCTGTATTGACTGGGCCACGGGCTGCTGTTACTGATACAAATATGGTTGATCAGAAGGGGCTGTAGATTGATAGGACTGAGGAAGAATGTCCAGCTGAGTTACGCTGATACCTCACTGAGGCAGGAGAGAGCAAAGAGAGACACAGAAAAATCATGTGATGAGCAAATGGTTCTGTACTTTTTCCTTTCTTCTATGTAATGTTAACTTGATGTGAAGTAATTTGATGTCATTTGATGGAGACTTGACTACCCAGTTACTATAGAGAGAGAAGATTGTGACCACCTGTTAATAACACATCCTAGGTATTGTTTTCTTTTGTAGGCACAGAATAGGTCCTGTAATCTCTTCTTGCCAGACGATTTTACTTAAATGCTATTTGTATTTCACCCTGGCTTTAAGTTGTATAGAATAGAAGGAATGTAAAGCTTCCTTCCTGAATCTGCTGGCTCCTGAAAGTTAACACTTTATTGTGCTTTCACTGCAGGAGTTTTTGCATTTAATTTAAAATTGTCAGCACAACTACTATAATTTTTTTTTTTTTAAGCCAGAAATAATTTCAAACACTGAACTGCCTTTCTGAATGTTTAAAGCACTAGCTATTTCTTTTTAAGTTGCTGAAAGTAACACTACTATATATAATACTTGTTTTTATACTTCCTGCTGCGAAAAAACTGTTACAAAAATTTAGAAAATCACAGGTTAAAAAATAAACTAAAATTTATTTTCAGAAAATGTATTTATTTTGTTAATGTGTGATTGTTTTTTCCTTTTGCTTAATTGCAAATCCACATTTCATTAAACTGAAACTGTCATATAGTTTTTAACAGGAAGAGGTGATTATTTTTGCAGAATTCAGGCTGAATTCTGGAAAACCTTAATTGTTATTGTTCTCTATGGAAAGCCCTAATTAACATAGTAAAGTTAGTATTGGATAAAATAAAAGTGCATCAGTTCTGAGTGTCGTTGATTGAGACTGCTGGACTTCTGTGTAGCTAGAACTCTTGGATTCTGTTGATATGGTGTTGTACTTACAGCTGATCTGAACATAGGGCTGACATTCCAGTGACAGGTACAAATTTATGTAAGTTAAGAAAATGGAGATACTGCATTTAAATTTAGACTTAGGAATCTGTACTGTCCACCATAAATAGGTTTGTAATGCTTTTCTGTCTTTTCTTTTCCTTTTTTGATTTTTTTTTTTCTCCTAGTTACGGCAACCTCCTGTTAAACGTTTGCGGCTCAGAGGGGATTGGTCAGACACTGGACCAAGAGCGAGGCCTGAGAGCGAACGAGAAAGAGATGGTAAAGTCTTTGCAGTTGTTATCTGTGCTTGTGTGGTTTGTTTTGGTTGGGTTTTTTTGTTTGGTTGTTTTAGGGGTTTTTTTGCTTGCTTGGGGTTTTTTTGGTGTGTGCATTTTTTGTTTTGTTTTGTTTTGGTTTTTTTAGTTTGTTTGGTTTTGTTTGGGTTTTATTTTCTAGTTTTTCTTAAGTATTCCTGAAATACATAAGTACTTCAGGTCAGACTGTCCATATTTTAAGAAACTTGTAGATAAAACTTTAGGGTTACTTGTTTTACAGGGGAGCAAAGTCCTAATGTCTCTCTAATGCAAAGGATGTCAGACATGCTGTCAAGATGGTTTGAAGAAGCTAGTGAAGTTGCACAAAGCAGTCGAGGACGAGGAAGATCACGGTCCAGAGGTGATTTCCTTCTTTTCAAGAATAATATTTACAACAGAAAGTATGATTATACTGGATGTACAGGCCTTGAATATCAGACTTTCTGAGGTGTAAACTAAACAATTTTTAGTGCACTCTGAAGAACTGAGCACACTTGTTTGCCATGTGAATGGTAATGCAAAGGAATCTTTAGAGACAGAGTAAGTTTACTTTTGGGCTCTTGTTTTTCTTGCCTTTTTTATTTTTAATCAAAGGTGGGACTAATCGGACAGATGCTCCTGCTACTAATAACGTGCCACCTAGTGCAGAATCAGAAACTGCAATGGAAGTAGATGGTTCTGAACAACTCCCATCATCTTCCTCTTCTACGATGTCAGCCCAAGCTCCTTCAACATCATCTTCAACAGAAAGTCCCCCTTCAACTTCATTATTGTCCTCTCCTGATAATGAACAAAGGCCTTCTTTAGGGGCCTCAGCTCAACCTGTGCTTCATCAGTCTGGTGAGAAGAAATCCATCTTGTCATTGTTTATGAAAAATGCTTTCAATAAGAAACAATTTTATTTTAGGATATTTTGGGTAATTGATTTCAATCTTTTTTCTTTCTTGCACGTCCTTAATGATACTAGGTATTTTATAGTTACCAAGTGATTGCAGCTGTGGTTTAAAGAAAGAGTAAAGCCATCAACTGTATACATTTGTCTGAAGAAAGAATCTCAAAGACCAGTATTGCCTTTTGAAGTAGAAATAAAAAAATATATATTTTTTTTCTAAACTTATTGTTTTCTTGATGGAGTATAAGTAACATCAGGCCTTCTTCAACTGTGATTTGGCTGTAGCAGCATCAGTGCAATGAATAGCAGAACCTATGCCTGTTATAATTAGAAGAAGCAGAGAATGTCTCCTTCAGAGGGAATCTGCATCCTTAACATTTCAGGGTCAGCAATGTTATTTTTTTGCTTCTCAAATGTATCTGGATAGACAGGGCTCACGTTGCGTGATAGTACATTATTGGTTAATAAATAATACTACATATTGATTTTTAGGTTTGTGTGTCTTGAAGAAACTCATCTGTATTTAATACAGACTTATATTCTTACTGTGGGAAGAAGAAGAAAGTATATTCCACTGTCAAATGTCAGAAACTTACTTGGGTGGTAGAAGAGCACCTTATGCTTTGACTTGCCCTTTTCCATCTCTATGCAGAATACGACTCCACAGCCTTTAGACTTAAATATTTGCAGGAGAGTTTATTTTTACTTTTTTAAAGTGAGTTTCTAGACCTCACAGTTATGGTGGAAAGGCTGACATGATCCAGAACACCTACAGGTTCATTTTAAAATCCTGTGTCTTTTGTATAAATACACTTTTTGTCTTGTACCAATTCCATTCTTAAAAACCAACATCTTTATCATTGGAAAAGAAGACTGATAGCATCTTCAGGCCCTAAATTGGATGTTCTGGAGTAAAAGAGATGGAGATTTCCCAGGGAAGGGTCTGCCATTCAGTGTACTGGAGCTGCTACAGCCAAAATCTTTGGGACAGGTGAGAAATTATTAAGTATTTGCTGCCTGAAAGACAGGGAAGCTAAAGACGTAAGTTGAAATTCATTAAATGTATCATTCTCACCCTTTCAAACCTTGCAACTAGTCTGGTACTTATTTAGAGGAAATAAACAGTGAGCAGAAGTATAACAATGCACACAGTCCAGATACTACTTGTAGAATAAGTGAATGCTGGAAAATTTATTTAGTAGCAGAGGCTTTTAGTCACCTGTGTCTTTTATTAGTACTGGTGTCAGCTTGCTGCAACCTCAAGTTTTTCACAGTACACACACAAAAATTTGATTAAGGAGTCTACTCTAACTCAGTGTAACCCAGTTTAGATGCCACTATCTTTGGTACAGAGAGATAGCCAGCAAATAACACACATACCATTAGCAAGGTTTCATTTTGATCTATTTGTTTTTTTGAAGTATGGATATTCTGGAGCTTACAGTGTCTAGGAGAGTATGTCCCATATTAAAAATAATGGCTTCAAGCTATGTCATGGGAACTTTGTGGGTTGCATAATGATAATACACTAGAGAGCATTTCTGGAATTGTGATGCATTTTCTATCCTGAATTTTAAAGAATCACTAGAAAAATTTTCTTCTTTTTTCTCTGAATCTGTCTGAATTTCTAAGTAAAAGTTTATTCTGCTAGCATGAAGCTGAAGTTGTTATTTCTTAATCCAGCTCTTCTCTAAGAGCATTTCCCCTTTCCCAGTGTTACTTTGTACTTGAGACTCTCCATATATTCAGTTTTGGAAGGGTTAGTGGTGGTTGTTTTGTTGACACAGTGGATAATTTACTGTACTATGTTTGATAAGTTATTTGACTGCACCTAAACAGGGTGTCAGACTGACTAATGATTCTTTAAAAAGAATCCAACCCTCCCCCCAACTCCAAACTCACAGAAATAAACAAACAAACAAAACTTTGTCTGGTTTTCTTTATTGCTCTGTGCAGATTTCAGTGTTAGGACCAGGTGTCATCTTTAAATTATCTTCAGGACTCCAGCAGGAGTAAACTTAATAGTACTATACATTTGTACACCTAGTAAACATCATGTCTAGTTTGCAGTGCTTTTAAAACACTGGAGTTACTGTGAAACAAGTCTTTGGGTAACATGGGCAGGTTGAGGGAGAGGGAAGCCCCTGGGCAGAGGGAGCAGGTCAGGGCAGAGCAGTAGCAGTGTGTTTATGAATGGGTAGGCTCGAATGTGAATTTCCATTTCATAATGTTTGTATGGTTCCATAACCCATGACAGTGCTCAGTTGTGAGATTTTATTTACTCAGTCTCCAGTCTTCCCTGAGTTTGTTTAGCTGCATTTAGAGGTGAATAAAACCTGCTGCTTTTTGGAGTGGCAGGATAGGGAAAGTGTTGGTACGAATAGTAGTTTAAATCCAGTGAGATTGAGTAGGAAAACCAGGTAGAGTTGTAAAAGATGGATGACTGGGGAAGCATTTTGGAAAAGGAAGAAGGAAAATGAGAGGCTTTCAGCCATCATTTTCATAGAATGGTCTGGGTTGGAAGCGACCTTAAAACTCATCCAGTTCCAACCCCCCTGCCATCAACAGGGACACCTTCCACTAGACCAGGTTGCTCAAAGCTTCAGCCAACCTGGCCTGGAACACTTCCAGGGAGGGGACATCCGCAGTTTCCCTGGGCATCCTGTTCCAGTGTCTGACCACCCTCACAGTGAAGAACTTCTTCCTAATATCTAATCTAAACCTCCCCTCTTCCAGTTTAGAGCCATTTCCCCTTGTTCTATCACTACCTGCCTTTGTAAACAGTCCCTCCCCAGCTTTCTTGTAGCCCCTTCGGCTATAGGATCTCCCCGGAGCCTTCTCTTCTCCAGGCTGAACAGCCCCAACTCTCTCAGCCTGTCCTCACAGCAGAGCTGCTCCAGCCCTCGGATCATCCTTGTGGCCTCCTCTGGACTTGTTCTAACTGGTCCATGTCTTTCTTGTGATGGGGGCTCCAGAACTGGACGCAGTACTCCAGGTGGGGCCTTACGAGAGCGGAGTAGAGGGGCAGAATCACCTCCCTCCACCTGCTGCCCACGCTGCTCTGGATGCAGCCCAGGATATGGTCATTGGCCTCTGGGCTGCAAGCGCATATTTGCAAGCGCAGTGGTGGTAGATACAAGTTTGAATATTGTAGCAAAGAGTTAGCAAATGAAGAATATAGTTTTGGGTAATGACTTATTTAGAATTTGAGCATGAATTCATACTACAGAATGGAACAGGCTTATAAACAGCTTTCCATAAATCATTTCTGCAGATTTCTATACTGACCATAGGCACTGGTGGTAATCCTGTCTTTGAAACAGCAATTCCTTTGCATATATATATTGTAATTCAAATATCTTGTTGGTATGGTGTTCCATAAAATAAGCCATGTGGTGAGCATTTGAGCTTCTGCATCTGAATTAATTACTTAATCTCTTAAAGTTTTAAAAGAAGTACACGTTAAAAATAGTCAGTACAAAAATGGTTCAGTGCTGGAGCTCATTGAGATAAGTCTCTTTTATCAGAATGTATATTCTAGAAGAATACAGTTGGAACATTTGAGTAAGGTGCAAATAATCAACAAGATCAGTGCAAAATCTCAGTAGCCTGTTCTTGTCAGTATATTTGAATAATTTTTTTTATATAATGAGACAGAACAATTGCTGGAGATTTTCTTAATTGTCATGAAGGAAAAAAAAAACATTTATTTTCTCACCCTGTTGGGCCCCTTCAGTGGAAAACTAATTAATTTTTTTTACATTGGTTTTAAGATGCTGTAGTTTTAAACAATGAATACCAGCAAACTGTAAAGTACAGTAATGCTTTTTTCCCCATAAATTGTATTTCAGATACTCATTGGTACCACTGGGAGAGGGAATAGGGGAGCAATTGACTAATTAGGACAAAGCTTAATCCTAATATGTGTTCTGGTATAAGGTAACTTTGCTTTTAAATTTTGAATGGGAAAGTGGGAATAGCTGTGTGCCTTTTTTTTTCTTTCCATTTCTATTTCTTCACTCCATTTGCTGGCAAAATAAACTTTTGCTTAGAGATTCTGAAATGTGTTAAAAAGAGTTGTCATTGAACATATTCAGGATAGTCATTATCTTTTTACATTTTGAATTGTAGTTCTTACATCTTAAATTGTAACTGGACTGAGAGGGACTGAATCAGCGGCAAGTGCTGAAAATTACAATTTTAGACATCATTGAAATTTCCTTAAAAGCATTTTCTAGACTGTTTGGAGTTCTAATTTACGTAAATGTTCACGGCACACAAAAACTATTCATAGCAAATCTCTTTGCCAAATTCCTTTCAAGAAGTACATATTTTTTCTTCTTGTTATATACTTCATCAACCATAAACTGGCAGGGTGTATTTTCCAGAAGTGGTATTAGACTGAGGTCATCAGAGTCTATTTACCTAATTAGAGGTCATGACTATTTAATATTAACTGGTGCCTGCCACTGATTTTTGAATGATTGGATTCTGTCTTTGGATTTGTTTCTATTTATGAAAGAAAAATTAAAATTTGCTTGCTTCACTGAGTGAATAAGGGTGACAGAATATTTGTGTAAAGCTTTTGCTTGGATGACAGGTTAGATGTCACTGTAATGCTCTCTAGTATTTTAACATTTCATAGTAGTCTTTGCAGATTTCCTTATATCTACAAAATACTCCAGAGTTCCCTTGATATCGATACTTTCAGGATAGGTCTAGGCTAGCAGTTCATAGCAGAACTAGCTAGAGCATTTGATGTGAATATTTGAGTCTGAATTAGCTTCTCTACCCCACTATATTATAAATGAGAGGAGTTCAGCAGTGGTTCAGGTCAATGTTGTGCTTCATTTATTGCTAATAAAGACACTGTATGTGTTGTATAAAGAGAAGTGCTTGCTACACAGCGCTGGTGTAAGTGGAGGAAATCTGCAAAGAACATGGAAAGAACAAAAAAATCACTTGGACACCTAGTTTTATATAGCAGTTTGCAAAAAAATACTGTTAATCAAACAGTGGACTGGTACATGCCAAAACAATATATATAGATATATAGATATATATATATATAGCTGGCAGATGAACAAAGACAAAAAGGTGAAAACAGTGAAGTCTCTAAAGTTGGAACTGAAAGAATAGTCTGTTAAGAGAATGATACTGAGAATCATTTATGGTCCAATAAATTACTTTCACTTGTAGGACCACTTAACAGTGTTTTCAGCCTTTGAATCCTCACCCACTGGGAATGTCTGAGATTGCAAAAATGAGTTCATAGTGAGGTGTATTTTTTGGTGAGATGCTGTTCTGACACCTATTTCCATAGTCCCAGTTTAATTTTTGCACAGGTTTGTTTTGATCAACATTATACTAATTTTTTTTTTTCACATTCATTTTGAAAACTTACCTGTAGACCCACAGTTGCATGATTTTACACCATGAATATTCTCATTTGTTATATGTGTTAGGAACATGAAAATGAACATTTCTGTTGTTTGTGTTGTTTTGAATCAGTCAGGATCTATCTATTTTTGTTGAGTAATTCTTTGTTAAATGGTTTAAGTGATGGAGATGGGGAGGAGGGTGTATTGTATGACATGAATCCTGAACTTTTAAGTTCTGTGATTCATGCAATTAGGAAGAGAAAAAACAATTTCAATATTTTATTTTATAATTTCTGGATTAAGCAAATTGTTTACATCATTTTTTTTTCCCCACTGTATTTACACTTAGTATCTGTTGCTTCTCTCTTTGGTCAGTCCCCCCACCCCTCCTCCCTGTTCTATATATTGTATGTTCAATGCTTCTTTCTTTTACATACTTTTTTTTGTGTTTGTTGTTGTTTTTTTCCTCCTCCTCCCTGTTTGTCAGACTTTGTGGGACCTGAGTTAGCTATAATCCGTAGGGGTCTCCAACGACTGAGGCTTAAGAAGGCAGAACAACAGAGACAGCGAGAGCTAGCTGAGGGTTCAGCGCCACAGTCGTCCTCCTCTGATCAGTCCTCCTCTAAGGGCTCCTCACAGGACCCTCAGGCATCAGGTTGTCATTTGTCAAGGTTTCTTAAGCAGCTGACGTAGCTTTAGTTTGTGCTGCTGTTGTTTGCTGAGATGCTTCTCTTGGAGAACAAGACAGTTAATGCATTTGCTGCTTGTCTGACCTTGCATGTGGTGGTGTTGATCATCACATGGTTAGGGGAAGAGTAAAACTGACAGTTGTCATTGATCTAACACATTTGGATTATATGTGGAGAAAGTTTCCTCGGTGCATGGTATCGGGTATGTGCAATGTTTGTTAGAGCAGATGAGCAAGAAATTGCAGTGACCTGAATAGAGTAAGGTACTTACACACTTGAAATTGCATTTTGGTGTTGATTGTATCCAACAGTAACATTTAAGACTTGGCTTTGGTTTAGCATATGTTCTAAATCGGGGTAACAGTTCAATAAAACAGAATTTTGGCACTCATAAATGCTGTGGTTTTATAGCAAGTATAGTGAAAATACTTGTAACAAGCCAAAGTCTCCAGATATTCTCTCCTTTTTTGAACAGTGACCTTTTCATTTCACCATCCTCTTTCTCTTGTCTTACTGAGATTAAAAATTATTACAAGAAAGCCTTGGAGATGTTTATAATAGAAAGAGTCGTGTTTGAGAAAGTTAGGGTAGAAGCATGCATATGAATAAAGAGGTGTAAACCCTAAAGCATAAACTTGAAGCAAACTCTGTCATGGCATCATTTAAAAATAAGTAAACTACGTGCTGTGTGGAAAAAAAATCAGCATATTTTGTGTTGAGAAGTAATGTCTAGCAATGTTTCTTCTACAGGTAAATTCTGTGACAGTTGAGGTGTGGCTAAATTAACTTGTAAGGATTGTGTTGTACATTCACAGCTGGACTTGCTGTGGTTCAGTCTGTTAGTTTATCTGGAGCCTTACAGAACAATTTGACAATAACAGTAGCTAGTGCTCTGGTTACAATATGTAGTTGTTGGATTTTAAATAACTTCCTACACTAGGAAATTTTACAGTGAGTTGTCAGAATGTTTGGAAAGCAGTAAATCCTGGAGGGCTAAGTGCTTATCCCTAGGGATAACAACCATAGGTACCTGTTACCTGTAGGAGGAGAGCAAGTAAAACAATAGTAGCAGTGTTCTTGTAGGGGGCTGCAGTTTCCTGCCAGGAAAAAAATAAAACCTACCAAAAAAGCTACCTTCCCCCCCCTCCAGCAGCCTGAATGTCAGAATGTATTAACTCAAAGGTATGTATTGATAGAGACAAGACCATAGCTGACACTTACAGTCAATAGATCTTGATCTTCCATTTTCTTTTCAGAAATACTTAATTTTCTTTTTACTAAAATGTTTCCCATTGAATTGAAGTTGGAAAAAAAAGTTTAGTTACAACCACATCTGTAGAATTTTCACCTGGAGGTATATATCTGTGGATATTTTACTACCTCTGGAGTATGTGTTGGTCTGGGTTTCACTTGATACTGTCTCACCCATCTCTTTCTTAGTGCTCCTTCAAGGGTGCAATGTAATTCTTTATTCCCAGTTGCTTGTGGGTCAGTGTACTGTAGGATCCATATACTGACACAAATTTGAAGGTTTAAGCTGAGTAATTGCTTTGACTGGGAGTCAGAGGTGTACTGTAGTTTGTTTGGATCCACCATCTCTGCCTCTTGGTGTTTTGAGTTCCCACATGCTTTGAATTTTAAAGGAACTAATGGGAAGGTCCTATTGTTTTGTTTGGGATCACCAGGAAACCACAGCACACATACGTAGCCTTGGAGGAAACTAGTAGTCAGCTGTTTACATAATTCTTCATGTGATGACAATTTGCAAATTTAACTATTTTATTTATTAAGTAATTGCTTTGACAGATGGATTCAGTTAGCACTTTGGAAACATTTATTTCTGGAGAGAAGAAGGGGGAGCAGTTTTGCTACCTGACCTCCAGCTCATTTGGATGTGTGTCTTTTTGCTGTTTGGTCTGATTGTTGGAATTTGTTACCTTCAGCATTACAGACAGTGGAAGATTTGAAAGAAGGAATTAAAATTTAAATATTTAATGTCAGTCAATTATTCCTCAAGAAATTTGATAAAAGATTACATTACCTTTTCCTTTTTACTATTACATGTAGAACAAATACAAGAAATTGCTGTTGTGCTTCATCAGCTTCTTTCATTGTATTTCTCCTTCCCCATTAGGAAACAAAAGAAACGAGTTTCTTTTGATTGGGGAATCCAGACGACCTTTGCATTGTCTATTTACTTTGTTCAGTTTCTATGCTCTGGAATGGAAATATTCTCTATTTGCTCATTTCTTGTTATGCAAGTTACTTTGTTTTGTTCCCTTTTTCTAAGGGACTTATTTTTGGAAGATGCATAGCCGCAGTCTATTCCTTTAGAAAACCAGAGCTGCAGATTTTTGGTCTCTTGCTTCTCCATAGAGACAATCGTTTGCCAACCCTGTGGTAAGCTGACGTTTCAGAAGTGTGGTAGGAGAAAAAGAAACTCTTATTTTGGGGGTTTTTTGTTGTTGTTGTTTTAATAATAAATTCCCATACAAAGACAATCTTTTTCTGTTTTTTTTAAGGTTGTCTTTGATGCTCTGTCTTGAGGCAGATGTTCAGTTTTCAGGCTCATATTAGTTGTAAATTGTCAAACAAAAAAATTACACCCCAAAATGTGTCTGCCAATATGGTGTCATAGCCTCTGGCTCAAGTTTACAATCCCTACTCTAGCAAAACTTGTATAATTTACACTTGCAATTTTTGAGGGAGTTCAGTGCAAGACTAAGACCATTTATTCTGACCTGTATTTTTGTCTTGCAATCACAGAAGCTAAACTACAGCCATAGACAGGCTGGAGGGAAAAAAAACCCCCAATACTCCAGCCATGTATGAAGTTACCAGTAGAAGATGTCAAGAGCTGAAAGCCTTTACAGGTTTAATAGAAAATTAGAATGTATAGTAGTTATTCTGTCTCCTAATAGTTAATGAGGATTTGTAAGCTCTATCTGCAGTAGTTAACCTTCACTATTTAGAAAAATATGGTCAGAAGTTTATGTTGTTGAATGTGAAAGTGAGTTAACTGAGTAATGGTTCATAGTGGGCTGATTTGACATTGAGGAAAAAGATACTTCAAAAAAGAGTCAAAAAGACTTTGTTGTAGTGGGTACTTCTCATAAGTATTGTGTAAATTTGGCAGTTTTAGAAGCAGTGTGTGCTGCATGTATCAGGTCTGTTTTATCTTCAAACCTTTGCTTAGGTATTGAACAGATTCAGGTTTTTTTGATAGCCACTCTTGAATTAGGAAAATACAGTAAGTTGGGTTCTGGGTTTTTTATTTTTATTATATACTTTCTCCAACAAAGCCTAGTTTTGACTTACGTTTTTGTGGCATTTCATAACATTTAGATCCTATGCAGTATTTAAACAACAGCTTATATGCAAACTGCAAAGTAAGTAAAACCTTTTAAACTTACTGTTATTGCTGCTCTGCCCAGTGTTGATGTGCTCTGTGTGCATCAGCTTTACTTACATCAATCCTCTTTGTGAGAACTGTAAGTGAATCGAATGATATTTGAGGAGTTACAGAAACGTAAACCAGCTGATCTTAAAGTGAAAAAGAGAAAATAAATCAGTATTATAGATCAGTGTGCATCAGAGTTCCTGCAACAGTCAGTGTGTGTAATCTTACTCACAAAAATATGAAGTAATGTGGACCTTTTTTTTCTTTTTTTGAGGAAAAATTAATTTGATTTATTTGCATTTTGATTTATTTGCATTTATTGTGGAATAAAGATATATACATGCACGTGTGGACATATTGCAGAACCTGTGATGCTCACTGACTTGATTCTTTTTTTAAAAAAAAAACAACTTTGGTTGTTTCAAAAGTCTGTATGATTGGTGTCTTTAAAGCAGAAAAAATTGGACTTTCATTTCTGTGTTAAAGTTTTCTGCCAAGAACAGGGGGTTGACTGCAGTTCTATTACTAGATTCTTTGCATTCTTTGTAAAGACCCAGATATAGAAATGTGTCTATTTGAAGTCCAGAATGTGTAACTGAGAGCTTTTTCACTGTGCAAAGCAATTATTCCTAGTTATTAAAACAAATATTTCATTTCTTAGATTAAGGTCCACTCTGTCTACCATGGTTTGGACTTTAAAAACAGGTCTCACTGCTTCAGGCCTGACTCTCACACTGGGGCTGGTGTTACAGTGATACAAGGAGGAGATTTTTTTTTTAACCAAAACAGCAGAGGTGGCATGCTCATACTTTGATGAAGTCAGGTGCTGATTGTCCAAACTATAGGAAGGTCCTTCAGCATATAACTGACTTAAAAATTATCTTCTATTTTCTGTTTGAGGTTCCCCAAATTTATGAATCTCCAGTTCCCTCTTTAAGTGGTGTTCCAGTTTAGAATGTACTGGTGATATTACAGCCAGTGGTGAACTGCATTGGGATGTAGACCCAGCCTGTGAAGGCTCAGGTAAGAGTTTGGATTTTTGTTTGTTTTTTTAACTATATGGCACAGTTTTGGTAATACTTTTTTTTCAAAAGCTTTAAAAGAAATGATGAAAGTACTTTTTCAGAATTTTTACAAAACAAAGCCATATATTAAAAAAAGAGGCATTTACCTGAACTTCTCTAGGCTGGTTTCATGGTCACATTTATTTCCCTGCCTGAGATGTGGGGTTCCAGACTGCAGTGCCACTTCGAGGGGTGCTGGTGATCTGTGGCTTCAGGGGACTTTAAAAGGAAAAAAAAAAAAAGTGAGTTTAAAATTGTTACAAACTGACCTCTTTTCTTAACCACGTTAGTTGGAATATTTAGGATGCTTCCTATATGTTGTTTAAAAATTATCTTATTCAAAGTGAAATGCATTCACAAAGTTGTAAGAAAACCTCAAAACAGTAGTGAAATGTGGGAGGTTTAAGCCTACATTGGCGTGGACTACCTAGAAAATTTTTCATTTTCACTTAGTGGGATTGAGTGATGCACATGGTAAAACATACCTACTTTTTACTTACTGGTGTGTAATGTGAGGTCTGAATACAACTTAGAAGTGCTGATAAGGGTAATACATGTAATTTCTTAAGTTTATAATTGTTAGTTCAGTCATATTTCTTCTGTTCATCTCGGTCTGAATTAAAAAGCTGATGAGATTAGCTTTTCCAGCCAAGTAAAATGTTTGGCAGCATGAGATACACCTTTTAAAAAAAGACATAGAAGCTTATAGAGAGAATTGGAGTGCAAGAACAGTGTGACTGAGAATCACTGTCTTCTGTCATGAGGTTTCTCAGCTTGCTGTCCAAGACCTCCCCTCCCTTTAGCACTCTTGACACAAGCTAATCCCAGTCACTGGCTTCGTAACTGTGCGGCAGTGATCAGAGCCAGCCTGCCCGTGAGAGGGGTGTGCTGATTCCTGTGCCAAGTCAGCTGGAGTACAAGTAGATCATCTTACGACGTGGTGCATCTTTTCACCAGCTTTTTGCTCTGATTCTCATTCTAAAAAATGGATTACTACTCTCTTGAAAAAACTCTACTGTAAATACTTCTAAATTAGAAATTGTATGTAAAGCAAGCTTTAGTTTTGGAAAGTGAAATACAATAATGTTACAAGTCTCATACTTAAGAGCTACATCCCATCTAAATCTAGGTGACAAATTCTGTGGTCTGCCTTAGGTGTGTTTGATGCAAGGCATTGGCATGGCTGAACAAAGGTGAAGACAAAACAGGACTAATTTTATGTTCCCCAATTAGAGAAATAAAATGTATAAGCCCAGTTGCCAAACAGATCAACCTCCAAAACACACTGAGTTTGCCTCAGACTGTGCTGGTCTCTGTTCTTCACTCCTTCTTCTCTCCCCTGTGCTAGGTATCAGTGTAACAAAGGAACAGACTGGGATTCTTGCACCAATGGCTGGGAGTAAATTATCATTTGAGGATATGTATTTAAATCAGCTTTATCAATTTAGCAGATTTTATACTGTACTACAAAATAGGTCATGCTGGTGATTCTGCCTCAACCCTGGAAGTGAGCTTCCTGTAGGAGAGACTGTGTTCTTTCATTGCTTTTCTTGTATAGGATTTAAATTTATGTTAAAATTCCTTTAGACTGTGACTCAGTTTATAATACAGAATATTAAATCCTTTTAGCTATTTTTTTTATAACAGAAGATTAACAAATGGAACCAAGATATGGTAGCCTAGCCAGTACCTTTGAAATACTGCAGTAATTTATGTACATCAGCTCATCTTAAGATAATACAGAAGTAAAGTCTGCTCTTCAGAGGTGACAAGGAAAATAGACTCACAGAAGATACAGAACGTTGCATCTATCATTTGTCTGCACAATGAATGCAGTACTGGTGATTATTAATCAACTGGTAGTATCCACTGGAAAAAACTTTTAACTGCTGGTTTTTGGTTTGGTTTGGGTTTTTCTTCTGTGATAAGATAATTTTTTTTAAGACTGACTGGTGCTGTGATAAACTTATGAAGATGTGTTATCAGTTAGCAGCTGCCACAGAGGTGTAGCATCTGGGAACGCAGAACTATCGAACTGTCACATGAGTGGGATGTATTTGGGTGCTTTAATGTTTTAAAAACAGTCTGTATGCTGTTACACCTGTAAACAGTCTCATCTTCTACATTTTATGCTCATAGGTATAAATATTGAACATACTGGTATGCTATCAAGTGTTTTATGCTGAAGTATGAACATTCTGAAATTTACATGTAGCACATAGTTTGAATTACTAGTGTCGTTTGGTAGTTGGAGCAAAGGCTTTAGGAGTCATGACTTCAGTTATTTTCATGACATGTTAGAAATTTTAAGAACATAGTGAAATCTTTGGTAATGGACAGGCATTTTTAATATTGACATGTGAGCAAGCTTCAGGCTGTTCAGTGAAAGAAATACATAAAGATTTGAAACAAGTGGCTCTGCTTCTGTCATGCCTAGAAAATGCAATATGGCTGGCTGCTCATAAAACAAACCCAAAGCTTCCCTATGTTGCTGCTTTTTATTTTTTTTATTTTAAACTAACATATGATCGTGACATTGCTGTGCAGTTCTCTGCTGCTTATGTTTTAAGTTGAAATCTCGTTTTTGTTTCAGATTCTCCTTCTTCTGTGGTTAACAAACAGCTTGGATCCATGTCACTTGATGAGCAACAGGGTGCGTGTGACAGGAAATGCGCTATACCCAGCCATAGTTGATTGCAATGCTTCCTTTTAAAATTGCCTTTCATGATGATAAACAGTCTAAAAATGCTGTCCATCTACATAAAGTAGAATTCTGTAAGCAGATCTGCTGGAAACTCATTAATTATTTAATTCTCAATACGAATAACAGAGTAAGGTTAATTGTTGTTTTCAAAAGCCATCCTATGTTCAATTCTTGATGCGTTCAATGTAGGTACAGTAAATGTCTTATGTACTCTGCGGACATTTAGAACAATTTTTTTTTTAAATGCAAAGTAAAATGAATTCTTTAAACAGTCTTTTTCTGAATGGTTCTTCTTTTATCAAAGTGCAAATATCAAGACTAAAGTAACTTTTATTCATATAATGCCAAAGTAATTTATCTTATATAAAAGGGGTGCAGCTTTGTTGTACTTGCACAATTTGAGTAACTCAGGAGCACTTACTGACTCAGGTGCATCTTACCTCTGTAAACCCTTGTCCTACACCCCTTCTGCTAAAACAAGTACTGGTGTTTCTCTGTAGATGCCCTGTGGGCTGGTGGTAGAAAGAACACTTGTGAGACTTCTTTATGTCCGTTATTGATCAGTCTTAAAATGGTGAGCAGTGAAGTGGGCCGTAGCTGACCCTATTCCAGCTGAACCAATGTCATCTGCAGTGAATATTTATGCCTGAATAATTAATGAGTGATGGATGGTAATTTAAAAATGGATTTCCATACACTCTGCACTATGCTTACTTCCATATCAAAGCCTCTGTAGAGATTTAGTAGCTCAAATACCACAAAAGAGCTGGCTGTTTCCTCTTGTTTCACATTCTAAACTACAATGCCATTTTGAAATTCCATTTCTGAAAAATAGTCTGTTTGGGAACTGTTGAGATTATGGTTTATTTTAGGATGCTAGAACATTGGGGGAAAAAAAAATCAAGCTGTGTTTTGTATTGACAAAATAAATTAATTCAGTGGATTTAAGTTTTGTGATTAAATAACCTTAAACCTCATTGTGTAAATTTAGTAATTATTTGTAAGTTCAGTAGTCTGTATCACTTCAGTAGTGAGGTTGAGCTGGAAAACTTGCTTATATTTAGTGGCCAAGTTATGCTCTCTGTTATGAACTCAGAATAAAGCATTATTTGAAGAGAGTAGAATAAACTAGAATTAATATAGAAAGTCTGTATCTTTACTGAAGAACTGCAAAAATTTTTGAAAACTGATAAATTGTTCTGTGAAGTTGTGAATTAAGCCCATCTGACAGCAAAGATAAAACCAGAAGTTTTTGGTCCTAGAAATCAGTTTCCAAATCTGCATCAGATTCATCTTCAAACAGTATCAGTTACCTTAAAAACTAATTTGTGTATCACTGATGTTCATTGCATAGTTGTAATAGACCCATAGTTGTAACAAACTCTTAGGAGTTTTTTTCTAATAATTTTTTTCTGTCTTAAGACATTACTTGAACTCATGTGAAGAGGTTTTCTCTCATAAAAGCACTTCAGGTGTTTTAATATGCAAAAAAACCCCAAAACACTTTTATCCAGACTTTATTGGTGGACTAGTTGTCTGATTGTTTTAAGGCAATGTTTTTCTGTTGTGATGGTAGGGATCACTGAAGAGACACTAGAATGTTACTTCTAGTTTGGAAAACTAGGAATTCAGTAAAGGAGGTAATTTATTAGGAAATCTGTTGTCCAAATGATAGCCAGAAGGAATAATTTACTGAGATCTAGTTGCATTTTTGAAGATAAACTGAATCAGTTTCACTTTTTTTTGAACAGAAGTCTCAAAAAAGTATGAGTAGTTAATGAAGGAAGTTGTATCAGTTCTTTTTTTATAAAATGCTTTTTTCTTTCTTATTCCTATTTGTTCTTAATTTGGTACAGAATCAGCTGTCTTCTGTTGGACCAGTCTCTTTTGTTGGCATTCATATTTTATGACTATTTTTGAGTCTAAAGCTCTTTTGAAACTTATTTCAAACATATAAATTTATAATGCCATTATTCTGACAGTCCAGCAGAAGCTACAAGTCATTCCTGTCTGCACGAAATGGTTTCAAATGGAAGACAGTGATCTACACTGGATTTTTAAATTTTTATTTATTTATTTATTTATACACTGTGATTGTTGATGGTGGCTGTTAGATTTGTCGCAGAGTAAAGGCACTGTTATGACTGTCAGGTACTGCCTGGATTGGTATGATTAAAGAAGGAACCTGAAGCCAGAGAACTAGCTCAGTAGCTTTGAAGTGTAAACGTGTGTATGCATCCCATACCATCTTAATGCTGCTTCCTACATACACAGAAGCCATACTGGTTACTGATATTTCTAGATATTTGCAAGTTAGTGTGAGGGTTTAGTAATCCCTTACGGTGATGCCCATCTGAGATTGTTCAGTGCCACTTTATAGGTACTTGAGCTGGCTCAGAACAAGCTGGTGTCAGCTGTGCCAGAGTTAGTTCCTCATAAACAGCACTGTAAATCCTTGAAACTGTGCTGGCACGTGTTGTGTCCCAGCTAGTTACCTCTGCCTCCCAGTCAGGTGAACTGGTTGAGTGTTGGTACACGTATAGAGCTTTCCAGATCTATGGTGAGCTCTGAAGGTACAAGCTCAAGAATTTCAGACCTGTACTTTGTTGTAAGGCACAGTGTAGTCTGTACTGCCTCCTTCACTAAAGTGCAGTGCTACATCCAATTAGTATAGGAATCATACAGACAAAGAAATTGTAGGCCTTGGGCTATATGTTAGGCTGGTCTCAAGAACTACTTGATTTTCAGTCTTCCCTTAGACATCACTGTGCCTTATACTGACTGGTGTCAGTGTAACACCAACCTTCCCGTGGAATTCCTATTTCCTGAAATATACCACTTATTTTCTTTTCTTTGGATCAATTTTTCTCTCTTTAGTTTTCACTCAGAATACAACCCTATCTTCAGAATGTAGAAAGCTGTTTTTCTTATGAGGAGATCACGATTAGTGCTGCATAGGAATGATTTTGGAAGTTTTTCATGAAGAATCATCTGTCCCCATCTTGTGGGGTTGCTAATAGACTGGGGAATAGGGCAGCACTGGAGATGTGGGAAGCTAGCTTGAAGTTCCTTACGGTGTTAGTTTAACTAGGTAATGCAGTCTGTAAACCTGCCTTTATGTGCTTACCACTTTGTAGTTAAGAGCCCCAATCTTTGTGAGGTTACACTTGTTGCAGGTTCATTTTCAAAGAGAAAAAATGTGGATGAGGGGTATTGCTTTCAATTGTGATTTTGTTAAGTTTTTTTATTTATTTGAATTTTATTTAAAGTTTACGAATGAGATTTTGTCTGCAGTTTCAAGGGTGATAGTTTAAAAGTACCTTCCTCCTGTAGGCACCTGAAGAATGGACTATTTAATGGAACTATTTGATCTGTTCTAGGATAGACTTTAAGTTGTTGGTAGTATCTTTAAAGTATTATGTGTTTGGCTGGAAAATCAAAGTAAAATTTCAAAGTATTTTTGAGGAATTTGGAACAGAGTTTAGTAAGGTGTTGACAAGCTACAACTTTCTCTTGGAGCAATTATCACCCTGCTAGAGCTTGCAGTCAGATTTTAAGTTTTTGCAATAGCTGTCTCCCCTAAATCACAGAACCTGTACAACTTTTCCTATTCTTCCCTTCATATTTGATTAATGTGAAGTAGATCTGACCTGATGGGATGAACCTGGTAGTGAAAGAGAAGAGCGCTTCATACTGATCTAGTCAGTCTTTGGCAATCACATTGTTCTTCTTGAAAACAAAGAGTTAATGTCTTCTGGATTTTATGTGGCTTCTCCAAAAGAATATTCAGTTATCTGATAGGCAAAGCTTATTAGCTTTCTTCACAGAGGCTTCCATTCAGCTTTCATTGGTAAGTTTAATATAAAATAGTGAACTACAGAACTAAGTCTGTGCCGTTTATTATCAGATTCTTGTCTCATCTGTCTTTTAAATAATTTCTTGTTCTCATTAGTGTCAATTTAATGCCCTAAAGCTAGCTTAAAGAAGAAACTGACCCAATCCAAACTGTAGTTCATGTTACTGTAGATTTAAGGAAAAGGTATTACACAGTATGGTTTAAAAGCTATCTGTCTCCAGAAATTTGTAAAAATAATTTCTCAATTAGTCAGTGCCCTCTTTAGATAAGTCTACAGCAACTCTTCCAACTTTTTGAGTGTGAATAAATGTGAGCATTGCTTCCACAGTAAGTGTGGTCAGAGGACAGTCTTTATGCATCTTGGTTATATTTGTTCATGTTGAGATTTAAGACAGGAAAGGGCTGTTATGATAATATGATCTGAGCTTTATAACACAAGCCTAATATTCAGTTAGGTACATTATAAGGTAGTGATGTTTGTTACTATGGGCAGTAACATTAACTGGTTTTGTGCTGTAGCAAATGTTGGGTAGCAGTATCAAGTTAGAGTACAGTCATTGTTTGGTGGCTGCCTTGGACTATTCAAGGCAGTAAGTTGTCTTTCTTCACCTCTCTGGGTTCCCAACTCAAAGATACATCTTATCTGTGCCTATTAGAAGGAAGGTAAAGAATTCTCCAACTATGTCATTGTTTTGACAGTTTTGATGTCCGACTCCTGAAGACTCGTGTAGGATATTGGAACGATCAGTATTTGTACTTGTTTAGGAAGGGATGTTCAGAGTTTGAACCGACTTTTATACTAAGAGATGCTTGCTGATAGGTTGTGAAAAAATAGAGAAAGCAGCTGTTTAGTTAAGAAAGAACATGTCATCTTTGTTCTAAATATCTATATATGCCACTATAAAATATTTTCTTACATTTGTTTCTTTTCTTACTCAGTTTACTTCAGGAACTGGAAACCTTACTTTTGATCAGTGTTATCCTTACTCCACTCTACCAAGAGTGTAACTGGAACTTTTATTTTAGAGAGGCTATGAGCTTTTCTTTGCATAGAATGAGACCCATGTCTTATCTATGATTAGGATTGTGGTTGCAATTGGTTAATTCTTTCACATAAAAATATTTTAATTTTCCTTACAGTTTTTTTGTGTTTTGTTTTGTCTTAATTTCTCTTTAGAAAATGTAGAAATACATATTTAAAGTTCTTTGGAGCAGCTGATCACTGCTCTGATCCTGTGAGTGGGCTTCTGCCTGTCAGCAGTTTAAAAACATGAGCATTGATTGTTAGGTTAAATGCTTATGTGCTATTTCATAGTTCCTATAACTTCTGTTTTTTTAAAAGTAAGTTTCCCATGGCAATATTGTAGCAATTACTGTTTTAATAATAGCATTTTTAGTGGGGGATTTTGTAGGTTTGTGCTTGAATCAAATGTTAGATTTTAACTGAAGTTTACCCAGAGATGATCTGAAGTTTTTACTTTATTGTAAGTGTGAGTCTGCTGCCAATACTGCAGGTATACCTATAGTCAAATTTCTGTACTCTGTAAACCAAAGAAAATATGACATGGTTTTGTCCCAACAGTCCTGAGTTAAAAGGTTTGGCATTCATGGAAGGCAACACTACACAGGCTACTTAGGGGGCATTAAAGTGGTGCCTAATACTAAGTGAACTCTCCCATCTGAGTTCTGAGGGAATGGCACCTCTGTAGTGAGCCTGACTCTGATGGTACTTGCCATTAACTTTTTAGTGTTGCCCAAGGCCAACTTCAGTATTAATGGCAATTGTGCCATGCACATGGATAGATTGTGACCATGAGTTTTACTCAGGGATGGTGGGTGGATGTCATTGAGCAGTTCTGTTTTGAAGGAGCCCACTGAACATCCTTAAAACGATATATGCAGCAGAGGTTTGGCAGACTTGCAGTGGTTTTCAATTTGATTCACTTCTGTTGCTTTTGGACATCTTGAGTAGTTTGTTTGCAAGTTCTCCCCTTCTGCTTACAGTTAGTATATTGGGAAAGGTTTTTTTAAACCCAAAGCTGTCAGAACATGAATTTACAGTGTTTTTATGACAACTAGCTGACAGTTTACAGCAGGTCTAAGGATATTGGTAGTTGACTGGATTCTAAGTAGAAAAAAAAAAGTAAAGGGGATGGTGACTTTTCTAGACCACTGATTGTATCTAGATCTCATAATCTTTTTTTCATGTGTATTTACTGAGGCAAAAAAGACTGAACACCACTTCCAAAAACATTTTATATTCTTCTTAATAATATACTGGATAGAAAAGGAATCTGCTTATAAAGGATAATATTGTGTATATACATAACCTATCTACGGTTTTATTTACCTGCATGTTGAAGGACAGCATCATCTTTGTTTGCTCTTATAAAGGCAAATAATTTTAGGCCATTTTTAAAGCATTGCAAATTTGATGTGTTTGCTCTGAGACTTTTTAACTTTTTGCTTGGGCTGTAAGAGATCTTAAATAGGCATTGTACATGTTACTACCACATTTGGCTTTTGTTAGGATAATTAAATGAATCTTCAGAATTATAATAACTTTATGCATATTACTGATGTCCATCCAAACTTTATCAACCCCATATTTACAGAGAGTGATAAGCCACGAACAGGAACGGGTGAACCAGTTTTAAGTTTGCACTACAGTACAGAAGGAACGACTACAAGCACGATAAAACTGGACTTCACTGATGAGTGGTAAGAAGTTAATTTTGACTTTGGTTATTGGTCAGCACATGCCACTAACATTCATCTAGCATAGATACAGATAAATTATTTTTCCATATAGTATATGTATATTTTAAGGTGTATATAGAAAATTTGAAATTGCTGTAGTCCTTAATGCATTTAGAATGTAAGATAGTCATACTCTAGCAAGAAATTTATGCAAGAGGTTTTTTTGTGGTGTTACTGTGAATTTCATTAATGCTAACATAATTTGAAACATGCTATCTTCATCAAACCTAGCATAATATTGGTGTTCACTATCTTACTAAAGCCACGAAGCGCATACAGCCTAGCCCGACTTACTTGGTTTTGTATCGAAATCTATCACAAGAGCATTTCAAAATCTCCCAAAACCACCACAGCCCTTATTTTATCTCCACTTATTTCTACTCCTTTGCTTATGTTTTCAGAATTACTGTAGAAGACAGTAAGTAGCAGTGCTTGCTGGCATTTGTTACTGGGAGGAAAAAAAAACAACCAAAGAAAACCAAATGAACCACCACATTTAGCTACTCCCAAGTGCTGTGGCTTTAGACATAAAACATACACTTTGCCCATAGCAATTTGGAAACTTCAAACAGTGATCTGTGTGTTTTCACAAGAATGAAGACTTTGCCCATGTGAATCTAAAATACTGTGACAGTTATGTTCAACAAATCTGTCAGACTATTTCTGTTTAGAGTCCAAATCCAGCAAGCTTTGAAAGAATTAGTTTTGCTGTAATGCTTTTAACTTATTCTGCATTTAGTTTTGTAGTCATCTTTATTTAATGTTTTAAGATGAGCAAATTTCACAAGAGCATTAGCAAATGTTTTGCCATCTATTGTAGTAGGTTTTTTTAATGTAATAAATGTTACTACCACTGTATTTAATTTTATTAAACAAAATTAATGCTTTGATTCTGTGTTTATCTAAAAACAAAATTTGAAAAATGCATTTTACATTTCAAACAGTTAATGGTATAAATGATTCTGAAGATGGAAAATTTGAATGAGCAACAACCTCAAAAACAATATTAAGGAAAAGTAGAGTGTACAGGGAATGGAGATGAGGGACAGGAAAATTACTTGTTACAAAAATCTGTAACTGGGGAAGTAAAGAGTAAGTGAAATCTACTAAAACTTAACTTCACATGCATATTCTGTCTAATAACAAGCATTTTAACAAATCTCTTGGGCCAAGGGTTAGCACCATGTGAATGACAAACATCAAATATGATACCAAAGGAGAATGAAAGGCTGAACATTGTGTCTTTTAAGACTAATGGTAGCAATAGTCGAGGCTTTAGGACAGTTCTGATAGAAAGGCATATTAAAACAAACAGTACATGGGAAATAAACCAAAATTATGGGAACTACAATGTGCATGATTCAATACCTTTTATTTGACAGAAAAATGGGGTTTAGAAACTTACACAGTGTAATAGAGAGAAACTCTCTACATTTCCAGAAAGTATTTGATACTTTACTGCATGTTGAACTTCTTTTCAAGTTGGGACAGATAGATCAATAAAGAAACTGAACATGGTGGTAAGCTAACTTAATGGAGCTTCGTAGTGGGTAGTGTAGTGTGGGTAGTGAGAGGAAGAAGCATTTCCTAGCAGGACAGAGTTGCAAGGCATTGTCATTTCAGAGGCTGAGTAAAAATCATTGTGCCAAAGAATGGAAAAATAGAATTAGGATGTAATTCTGTATAACTAAATGATGCAGTTGAAGACAAATAACAAAAAACCTAATCTTAAAGTTGGGAATGTTGCGAAAATGCAATGGAGGAATACGTGGACATGGAGGGAATGCATGGACCTACCAGTCACTTCATTCTCAGTATAATGCAGCTACTGGAAAAGCAAGTACGATCCTAGATGTCCCCAGCTGGGAGACTTCAGCCAAGGATGAGAATTACCAGTGCTGCTGCTCAACTGTGCTTTGCTTTGTGACTTAGAATGCTGCGTGCAATCTTCATCATGCTGTTGAGAAAACTGATTCAAATTGGCAGAGGTTCAAAGAAGGGTCATGTGGAGAACCATGGAGACAGAAAGCCTGATATGGAAGCAGATAGTAGGGTTTAATATAACAGGAGAACAGGGTGTTATCTTGCTCTCTCAAAAACATCCTCTTCATGTAACTGCTGGTGTAAAAAATAACATTGAAGTAAAAATTAGAGTAATACCTGAATGTAAATTAGCATTGAGCTGGAAGGTAGATTCCTAAGAGTCAAAAAAATTTTAGTGCTTAGACTGTGATTAAGTTTATAAAAGTGATTATGTCACATGAGGCATGAAATAGCAAAAATCCTCGACTTGGTGTCTAGCAGTAATACTCTTCTTGTCTGTCCATTCAGAAACAATGCTGAAAAGTACTGATTTAGAAGAAATACTGTAAGGGCTAACAAAAATTTCCTGTATTCTCCAAATCCAGTACAGCAATGAAACAGACTGTTGTTCATCAAGATGAGTAAAAGCTCATGTAAAAAATAAAAGTACTG